ATGCAGCCATTTTCGAAATTCATATTTTAATCGAAGTCTTCCGTGGCGTTGCCGTCGTGACTGCTTAAGTTCCCTACTGTTGGCTGCGGGGCGGGCCTAGTCGTAAGCGTTTATTGTGCATCCTTACTCAACAATAGAACAAGTTAGATGTAGGTGTCACCTAATCACCTCCCTGTGAAGTGTTACGAATACCAACAAATATTGAACGCTTTCGTGCAAATTTTAATATTTGCAGAAGTCTCTCGACGCTTTCACAGCGTTGTGTAAAGAATTCCGAAAAATGCATGCAATTCTAAATTTTTGTACATTAGAAACAAGGAGAAATATTTGAGATTTTTCGATAATTTGGTGGGCGTGTGTGAGTTTGTTTCTTAATCTCTTTTTTTTTAACATATTGAAAATTGCATCTTTTTAATAAAATCGTTGAAATCAAACGCTATTCAAACGTTAATTCTCCGTGTGATGGGACCTGATATCCATGTTACCAAGAGAATATAATCTCTTAATGTTATCCATAAAATACGAAACGCTTTAGTTAAACTGGTTGTTTGTTGATATTTATTCATTCCAACTCAGCTTGCTGTTTGAAAGCATTCTCATTACGTTTCGAAAAATTCCCTACTTCGCTGTGAAGTCTGCATTCAACTCCCTCCTCTCTAGAACAAATTATCACACTCTATCACACACACACACAAAAGAGAGTTGGATGCTGTGTTTTCAAAACGCGTATCTTCTCCGGTTAACAAGCAAGAGGTAAACCTTGACTTGTTCTCCTCTTACCTCAAGTAACGGGTTCTATCAGTCTTACCCTAGCGGTAGTATTATATGTATTAAATCTTCACCATGTGGCTTTTCCGATTTAATTTACAACACTTTGCGGGGGACTCTGGCCAGCCTGCATTGAGCAGTTCACAATAATTGAAGGAAATTTTGCAGATGCACCCAACACCAGAATTAAGGCCAAACCGCAACAGCGCGAGCTACGTTCCCTACTCTTTGCGATAAGTGTGTGGGTTTCTTAACGTCCCCTTCTAACTAGTACAGAGAAGATGCAAGAGACGGGGCGCACGGTATTTCGTAATTATCCGAGAAGAATTCAACCTCTAACCATTTGCAGATGTCATAACAAAAGCAATAAATTCTCCTCAGTTATTCCAAGACCCTGAGTGTTGGTCCGGTCTGAAGCTTGAATCCTAGACCTACCGCACAGCAGTCCGGCGCTCTACAACATGAATTAACCAGGCGGCGCGTGCATGAGTTAGCGCGCGCATTCCATGTTGATAGCATCACAATAGTTTACTCTATATACGTAGACAAGTTCGGTTGAGAACATTGTGCAAACTGCGCTTCTAATATCCTTTGGAGATTTTATTCTTAAAGTTACGAATTCAAAATGGGTATTTTAAGAATCTTCAGAAGTTTAAACTGCTTTAGTTCAGGACAGAGGAAACATAAGTCGAAGTAAGAATCCTTCCCGGATTTCTCTTGTTTTATTTCCTGACAAGCTGTGGTTTTAACTCGCGATTGATTGTCTCTTTTCGTCCCCAGGAAGCAAATGGAAAAAGAACTCTCAAGCATGCAAGAACTGGTCAGAATACTTGAAGAAGATATCCAGATCACAAGGTAATGAGAAACATAAAACGTTTATACTTTTTTTGGGATCCCGCAATAGCATGACGGATTTATGCGGTCGCATTTTAACAAAGTGAATACTCGACATTAGGAGCCACACTGCTCTTATTAGAAGTAATAAACGTTGAATTGTTTCTAAACAGGAATACTGTTGAGTTGTTCAAGCAGCGACAAAGAGCTGTGGAGGATAAAGAAAAGATGAGAAGAAACACCAGGCACAATCTGATGGCTCAAGTAGAGCAGATTGAGAGTGAACTGGGACGAGCATTAGAGGAACGCAAGGAACTAATGTCACTGATCATGTAAGTAGAGCTTTAGAGCGATGGGTTCTAACATTTGATGAATGAATGAATGAGAAATGAATGAATGCGTCAATAATATGAGATGTGATAAGACGGGATGGGAAGAGAATGGGACGAGAATCAGTTCGGTCATGTTGTCAGGGTTGATATAATTCTAGCAAGATCCTAAGTCGTACCGACAACAAGCAATGATTTATTACTTTTTCTCTCCACAGTGAATGCGGCATTCGCAAAACGGCCTTGGAAAAAGATGTTCAAGAGATGGAAAAGAAGGCGGAGTTCTTCTGGGAAGACCTGTATGATCCATCTCCAGATCCCAAAACACGCGCCAAAGCATGGCAAGAGAATCTGCGTCCTGTGCGTTCAATGAATGACTTGAACAAGGCGGTGCCTAAGCCACCCCTGTGCTTCGCACAGGACGCAGATGATCTCCCATTGTGGGATGTACCTTATGATGCGAGTGACGACGAACTCTTTACAGAAAGACTCAGAAATGAAGTTTTGATTACAAAAAGCAAAGAAACCTTCGCTTAAGGAGAAACATTGTGAAAAGTGAATCTGTTTCATTTGTAAATTAAGCCAGAGATTTGACAATGTCATTTAGAAATAAAATGATTTCAAAAGTCAATGCGTTTGAGATGTGCATAATTGTGTGCCCCATGTTAAGGGTAATGACACGGAGCTGAAACAGTCCACCACTTCAAAGGGCATGAAACTATAACAAAGTTTACTAAAAATTTAGTTGCTAAGGATCCTTGTTGGTTTGTATCGCCCTTCATCAATTGTCCCCTTTCATTTCAACACTGCAATTTACCATGGATTGATCTACCATCCTAGGACAAACATTTTCTGAAGGTCTGAAATGCTTAAGCACATTACTCAAGACCCTCTCGACTATAGAAGAATTAAATTATTTAGGGTGTGTGGCAACCACAATAAAACTCAATAGATTAGAAGACCTCCGAGGAGTGGCTTCGCAGAGTTGAGCTAAGTAGTCTTGTTTACATAATACGATCGTTAAGAATAAGCTAACATGAAGTTCCATAGAAATAGAGGTTTTGCACAGCAGCCATGTTGGATGGCAGGAACAATGAAAATATTTTGCATAAGAAAGAATTTTTTTTCTCATGGGTAAAATAATTCATTGTTCCTGCCATCCAACATGGCTGCCGTGCAAAACCTCTATAAATCAGAAGAGAGGGCCAGTAATTTATTATTGCGAGAATTTCCTTACTTTAACTTTACAGGTAACTTGGCTCTCTATCATGGATCGTTCAATAACTCGATCTCTCTTGACTGGTGCCCAAGGCAAAATCTAGATAAATTAAATAGTTTATACGACTTAGATATTTTTAGCCTGAACTCTAATTTGGATACTTATTTGAATTCTGATTTTAATCTTCCTAATCAGCGTATCCAAAGCCGATACTTTTCGCCACACAGCTTTAAACTGTTCAAGGAAAAGATCTCTGAAAACACGGTTAAGTCTAGTTTTTCCATCTTCCATAACAATATTGTGAGTATCAACCGCAATTTAGAAAATTTTGAATTGTTATTAGATGAACTGGATTTCCACTTTGACGTTATTGGTAGCTCAGAAACAAATATTACAAATTCGAATGTAAACAACGGCCGTCCGAGCATTCCTGGTTAGGTCTTTGAGCACGTGCCAACACCTCTGACCTCTGGAGGCGCTGGCCTTTTTATTGATCAATCACTTAACTACACTGTTTTTGAAAAACCTTCAAATGAGGCATTCCGAGCCCTCTGGGTTGAAATCTCTTTTCTCAACCATAAAAATATTGTTTGTGGAATAATTTATCGCCAGCACAATTCGCCCGATTACTTCTTAACGTATTTAGATAAGACAAGAGAGAAAATGCTGTCTGATGACAAGGACATTTATATCATGGGTGATTTCAATATTGATCTCCTGAAGTATGAATCATCTCAACTAAGCCTGGATTTTTTTGCTATCTCTTAGAAGCTGTTATCTTATTCCAGCAGCGTACGTGGACAAACCAACGCGCGTTCATAGATCTTCCGCTACGTTGACTGATAACATATTTGTTAACACACCTGACAAACTTCTTGTAAGCGGAAACATTATCTCTGATATCACTGATCACTTTTCGCAGTTTTGTATCACTACGTCAGCGAAAGACAAACTTTTACAAGTTAAAAATACGAAAATACGTGACTATTCAAAATTCTGCACTGATCGCTTTAACGACGAGCTGTCTGAAGTTGAATAGAATCAAATAATGGCAAACGAATAAATTGTGTGAACAAACTGTTTTCATCGTTTTATAACAAGTACAATACAACTGTTAACAAACATGTCCCCATGAAAAAATTATCAATCCGCAAAGGAAAGCAATTATCCAAGCCCTGGATAACTAGTGGAATTAAGGCGGCGATTAAGGTTAAAAATAAATTATATGCATCTGGAGATTGAGTAAAAAGAGATATTACGGTACGTTCTTTGAGAATAATATGGACAACATGAAAAAAGCCTGGAAAGGAACCAATGAAAAAAAATGAATGAAAAAATCAATGAAAAAAACGCAAAAGCCATATCTGCACTAAAGGACTTCAATAATCGCAACAAACTTGTTTGGAAGGTTCACGGATACCTGACATTATTAATGAGCACTTTGTAGCAGTAGGAAACAGACTTGCTAACAATCTGTCCATTCCCCGAAAAAATCACCTAAAGTACCTCGAGAAGTGCAATTCCCCAACTTCGTCCTTCTTTTTTCAACCTGTTTTACCTGAAGAATTAAGGTCAGAGATATTACTTGTGCCGAATGACAAATCTTATGGTTTATACTCCTCCCCTACCAAACTTCTCAAATGTTCAAGTGCCGTCATTAGTCCTATTCTTTCAGAGACACTTAATACATCTATCAAATTAGGGACATCCATTAAAACTCAAAATTGCCAAAATCACGCCAGTTTTCAAGAGTGACGATGTTAGTGACCTAAACAATTACAGACCTATCTCTTTGCTTTCTAATTTTGATAGGGTTTTTGAGAAAATAATTTACAACAGACTAACGAGCTACATAAAGAAACACGAACTTTTGTATTCCTCACAATATGGCTTTCGTAAGGGGCATTTAACCCAACATGCGATATTGGACATTGTTAATGATATACAGTCAAACATGGATAAATGATTGTTATCTCGTGGAGTATTCATTGATCTTAAAAAAGCCTTTGACACCGTTGACCACGACATTTAACTTGATAAGCTCAATCACAATGGCTTTCGCGGAATAATTAATGATTGGTTCTCCTCATATCTCAAAAGTCGGACCCAAACAACACAAGTAGGCCATCATATATCAGATAAAGCTGTCGTTGGAAGTGGCGTTCCTCAGGGATCAATCCTTGGACCGTTGCTCTTCTTGTTATATGTCCGTAATGATATTCACAGATGCTCGAACAAATTTAGGTTCTACTGATTTGCAGACGACACTAACATACTGTATGCGGACAAAAATATGAAAGATCTTGAGACAATAGTCAACATTGAGCTACAAAACCTTTATAACTGGTTGACAGCTAACAAACTAACTCTTAACATCAAGAAATCCAGCTTTGTAATTCTTCATCCCTATCAAAAGCGACTTGCTTACCAACCAAAACTTTACATGTTTGATAATGATAAGAACTGAATAAATATACTTGTCTAAAGTCTACATAAAATACCTGAGCGTACTTATTGATCAGAATCTTTCATGGAAATATCACATTAACTCCACTGTAACAAAAATTAGTAAGACTATCGGGTTAATTGCAAAGTTACGCCATTTTGTACCCCGACTTGTATTACTGAACATCTATAAGTCATTGATTCATCCTTATTTAACTTATGATCTTGCTGCCTGGTATCAGGCATGCAAGACTTATCTTAACAAAATACTAATTCTTCAGTAAAGAGTGCTTTGTTTATTATACTTTGCCGAATGGCATGACCATGCAATTACTCTTTTTTCGAAGCTAACGTGCTTCCAGTAAATTTTCTTTACTATGAGTCTGTATCAACCTTAATGCACGATCTCAATAATGGTATAGCCCCACCAAACATGTTAAATTTGTTTCAGAAAGCGTCTAATATCCACTTATACAATACACGATCTTCTACGTCTGGAAAGTTTTATGTTAAATATTCTAGACTTGAATACAAAACAGTTCTTTTTCTCGGCTCGGAGTTAAACTGGGAAATGGGATACCAAGCTACATAGCCAATTTCCCAAAGAAAGCTTTCAAAGAAAATCTCCGCAAATTGTTACTTGATATATTAGTAAAGGAGGATGAGTATATTGAAATCCCCATGATTATTAAAAAAGTAGGATCATAAAAACGCGTGCTGAGGGTCCCATTTTACGTCTGTTTTCCTTTTACAACTCCTTGTCTTTATACATTGTTTGTCCGTAAGTGCTGTGTTAATTTGATCTCCCAACTTCTGTGTTTTATTTATTTCTAGTTTGCAAGGTTTTTTTCTATTAACATAGGTTTGCCTTATTTATTATTCTTCCACTGAACTAGTTATTTTAATCACGTTCTTGTTTTACCCCGCCGCGACTAGCTTCTTAGGTATTTGCGGGACAAACCATTTTAATCATGTATTTTTGTAATAAGAATTTTCAAGTATGTATGTCTGTAATCAGATTAAGAATAAAGTTTGTTGTTGTACATGTTCAAAGTTTGTTGTTGTTGTACTGTACAAGAATTAAGTTCTTTAGGGTGTGTGGCAAGAAAATGAGAAAACAAAAGGTACTCACTAATTGCGAAGCCTTAAAATATGTAACACGGTCACTCTCTTAACCTTTTAACCCCCAGAAGTGATTAACATGAAACTTCTCCCCATAATTTCCTCACATTATTCAGCAAACAGGTAATGAGAGTAGTCAAACGTATCAGACAGAGGTTGGTATCCTGACTCAACACCAAACTTTCATTACTAATTTACAAGGAAATGTGTTGCGGCTAGAGGGGAGAATTTACAATCAGATCTTTGCAGTTGAAGGGTTAACACCTGCTGCTACACTTATGTGCACTGGGCAGCCAACAACCGTGAGATCTGCATTCAATTCCCTCGGCTCTAGATCAAATTATCTCATTCAATTTTAAGTTTAACGTTGATGGAAGAAAGGCAGTATTTGTAACAGGGCTCGGAAAATAAGATGCAACTCTTAAAATTCCGCTCTTATTTTATGTCAAACCATCGCGCGAGGTACAAATATGTAGTTTGTGAACAACCCTCGGGTTTAAACTGGGACAGAGTAACACCCTTCTCCTTCGACCAACCCTTCAGCCATCTTTCCAACACTTCTTTCATTAATTTCAATGCAAGGAGTTTGATATAAACTTGGTTTCCAAGTCCTTAACATGATAGATTTACACCGCATAGAGACTTTTAATTTTGCTTTTTTGTATCCCTCGGAAAATGTGGACGTAACACAAAAAATGTAAACCAAATGCTATCTTACATCTTCCGTTTTGATGAAGCCGAGCAAAGCGTTCTGCGAATGTGATTTCTTGAGAAGGGAGGAACAAGAGAGAAAATGGAGCATCTATTCTGGAACCGTGTTGTGCAAAACTTATGACTGGAATTTTTCTCCTGGAAAAGACGGCTGGTTTATCTTAGCGATCAGTTTATCAGAATGAGGCATGAGACCGTGGAAAATTCTGAAACTTGACACACACACACACACACACACACACACGCACACACAAAAGAAATTTGGAAGGTATGTTTACAAAATGTTTACAACAATCACATATCACATTAATTTGCACGTGCACGAGTGAGCGCGCGCACTCTATGTTCATAGCATCACAATAGTTTACCCTACATACGCGGACAAGTTCAGTTGAGAACATTGTGCAAACAGCGCGTCTAATATCCTTTGGAGATTTTATTTACAAAGTTACGAACTCAAAATGGGTATTTTAAGATTCTTCAGAGGTTTGAACTGCTTTAGTTCAGGACAAAGGAAACATGAGTCGAAGTAAGAATCATTTCCGGATTGTCTTTTTTTTTTTTTTTTTTTTTACATGCTATGGTTTTAACTCGCGATTGATTCTCTCTTTTCTTCCGCAGGAAGCAAATGGAAAAAGAACTCTCAAGCATGCAAGAACTGATCAGAATACTTGAAGAAGATATCCAGATCACAAGGTAATGAGAAATGTAAAACATTTTATATTATTTTAGGATCTCGCAGTAACATGACGGATTCATGCAGTCGCGTTTTAAAAAAAGTGAACAATCGACATTAGGAGTGATGGATCCTTGCAGTTTCCCTTCCTGATCTAATACTGCACACAATTTAATACCAGATTTCGCCTTGCGTGCAATTTGTGGAAGAGTTGGCTGTTGCTGCTCTTATTAGAGGTAATAAACGTTGAATTGTTTCTAAACAGGAATACTGTTGAGTTGTTCAAGCAGCGACAAAGAGCTGTGGAGGATAAAGAAAAGATGNGGCATTCGCAAAACGGCCTTGGAAAAAGATGTTCAAGAGATGGAAAAGAAGGCGGAGTTCTTCTGGGAAGACCTGTATGATCCATCTCCAGATCCCAAAACACGCGCCAAAACATGGCAAGAGAATATGCGTCCTGTGCGTTCAATGAGTGACATGAACAAGGCGGTGCTTAAGCCACCCCTGTGCTTCGCACAGGACGCAGATGATCTCCCATTGTGGGATGTACCTTATGATGCGAGTGACGACGAACTCTTTACAGAAAGACTCCGAAATGAAGTTTTGATTACAAAAAGCAAAGAAACCTTCGTTTAAAGAGAAAAATTAACAAAGTGAATCCGTTTCATTTGTAAATAAAGCTTTAATTCGACAATGTTATTTGAAAATTTGCATAACTTGGCGTGTACATTTGAGATATGGCATTACCCTTATTTAAAGGAAATAAACGTATTGCAAAAGCTAATGTGTCTGTGATGTGCATTATTATATGCCCCACGTTATGGGTAATAACACAGAGTTCAAGCAGACCACATCTTCAAGTGGCATGAAACTACGAGAAAATTTGCTAAAAATTTAGTTACAAAGGACCCTAAGGGCTCTGTATCGCCCTTCATCAATTGTCCCCCTGCATTTCAGCATTACAGTTTACCATGCATCTATCTACCATCTTAGAACGAAAATTTTCTGAAAGTCTGAAAATGTTTAAGTACATTTCTCGAGACCCTCTCGGCTATACAAGAAGTAAATTCTTTAGGGCGTGTGACAAGAAAATGAGAAAACAAAAGGTATTGACTGGTTGCAAAACTGCAATTGTGTGAAATCTGAGATGGCGAGGTGCTTTAAGAAAACTTCATCTAACACAGCAGCAAGGCACAGAAAATCAAAGTCAAGGTTTTTGGTTGGTGCACCAATAGACTTCCTCCTTTAGGGTCCATGACCTCAATAACTCCCAGAAGTGATTAACATGTAACTTCTCCCTATAATTTCCATACATGATCCAGCAAACAGGTAACGAGAATACTCAAACTTATCAGGAAGAGGTTGATTTTCTGATCTAACACCAAGTTCTCAAAATTAATTTACAAGGAAATGTGTAGTGGCTAGAGGGGAGAATTAATGATCAGATCTTAGAAGCTAAAGGGTTAACAGCCGTTGCGACACTTATGTGCAAGTCCATGGCAGAAAGAACAAGTGTGCGTAAAATTTACAAACAAATAAGTTCCACAACAAACTTTATTGATAAGATTTCCAAAATCAAGTACCTGAAATCAGACTGAAAGTACAATTTCAGTTCCTTAAATACTTTTGTATTCCTTAAAAGGTCAGACTTACAAAAATATTTCTTAACAACATGGAAAGAGGTAATTGAACAGGTTATTTTACCCTTTGGAACCAAGAATTGTATAAAAACGTTTTTCAGTGGACTTAAGTTTGGTAAAAACAGATCAGTATGTAGAAAGATTCTAGTTGTTTGTCAATGACCCCTAATATAAGCCCTACTCTCATCTCCCTTTTTATAAAGCAATCATGCTGGTGTTGTCATTACTTGCAAGAATTTGTGAAAGAGACCTACCAGCAAGTCACAAAGCAAAATAAATGAAAGGAAAATAATATCTACTTGCCCACTCTTCTTAATAAATAACTTGCAAATTTCCAAAGTAACACAATCAAACTCTCCTGAGGACAAGATGCAGAGTACAATGTTCTAGGTTCCTGATAATTCTCACAAAGATTGTAGAACATCAACAAAACTAAGGTCAAGTAAAGATTGTTGTGTTTTGGGGTTAACAGGTCAAGCACTATGCCACATGGCATTTTAATGTGGAAATATAAAATGGAAAAAAAAAACATCTGGAAAAAATATCAAATCATTCCACCATTTCCTTTTAGAGGCTTGTAAATACTAGTAACAAATACACCCTTGTTCGTTTATGAGCAAGACTCTCTTAGAATTCTTTTTGTCTTAATTTTTCACCTTACACCGTGATTATTAAAGTGTTCTTTTTTTTTTTTAATGTCTATCAATTAAACTCGAGTCTTAATTGCCTTGTTATAGTAAACAAAAATAAAGCCCTTAGGACAAGGCATTGCCTTAACCAATGCCTGAGAAATCATCAAACTTACCATCCTAATGATTAAGAACTACTTTGATTTTTTTGTGTTGAGATATTGACATCACATCCCCATATATGAATATAACATTTTCAAAGTTTAACTATACATCCAATTGTTTCTAAAACAAAAACTAATACATTCTGAAGTTCATATGAAATGAAGTCTTTTGTTTGCAATATTTGAGCTCTGAGTCTGAATTTGCTCTGAGTTACTGTAAGGTAAGATGTCCAATTTTTTCCTGCCAAGTTAGAGAAGAAAGAGAGAAGAATTATCGGTTCTGAGGTGCTGAAATTCACTGCTACATTTCTTTTGTGATGAATTACAAAAAAAATCATTTCATATGTACTTTAAAAGCATGCGTCATGATGGCCTTGGTCGCAGAATAAGTCTTCCCTTCTGGAATAAAAGAATAAGACATTCAATAAACTGTCATGAATTATAATCCTCATTAAAAACATTTGCTAACATGCATGGAGTAGAGTGGATACAAATCTCTAAGTCTGTGAGAATTCAAACTTTATTGAAGAGAGAATAAAGATCACACTGACGACACCCACATAATAATCTCCAAAAAAAACTGAAACTCCCTCTTCTTTTTTGGTCCATGTTATTTGTCTTATCCTTGCTTAAGTCATGTCAAATTTAAATTCATAATGATTATCAACAGTAATAATGACCCCACAAAGAACCATTGCACATTCATCAATGTATTTTATTTAAAGTGCACCTGACCCCTAAATTTTTTTCACTTAAAAAAATCTTCCTGCTTTGGTGAGTATTTTTTTGAAAAAATTGTCGGATTTGGTTAAATGCTCATTTCTTTACACCCTGTTGAAGTCTAGATCCGAATGGACGATGACCGCGTAAATGGGGATCTGGGCAGAGTAGACTTGTGACGTCACTTCGAGAAGACGCTCAAGAAATTCTTGGCCAGTCGTCGACCTGCGAAAGCCTTTATAGCACTAGTTTCATTCTGCAGCATATTTGCGACCAATATCGATCTAACCTTCCAAACATAACCTGTAAACTGTGCAAAATGGCGCGAAATACAGATTGCTGGGTTCTCGAAGTGACGTCACATTAGTCGCCAGACTCTTGATCCTTGAAACGCTGTCGTGAGTCAAAATGGCGGTGATTTTAATGCAATTTTCTGTACTTCAACATGGCACAAAAATTTAAGGATTTGACCAAATCCATAAAATGTTTTCAAAGAGATACTCACCAGAGCATGAAGATTTTTTTAGACGAAAAAAAAATTTAGGGGTCAGGTGCACTTTAAGATCCTTCTGATCACGTTTAAGGCTGTTCATGGGCTTGTGCCTAATTATGTACTAGAATTAATCAATTTAAAGACCCCCAGAAGGCACAGATTAAGATCTTGTAATGATAATCTATTACTGGAATTACGGTACCAAAAGGGAAGATGTACTCCACACTTGGTGACCAATCTTTTCAAACAGCCGCACCAAAACTTTGGAATGTTGTTCCATATTATATTAGAAATTCAAAATTGTTGAATCTTTTTAAAAAATATTTAAAGATGTATCTTTAAAGAAGCTTTTAGTTGTTAAATATCAAATTACATAAGATTAGATTATATATATTTTTGTACTTAAACTAACTATTTATTTTTAGATATTTTAAAATTGATATGTTTAGCATATATAGTATTTCATTATTAGATTTTTTCGTTTTCTATCTGTTGTTTTTTTTCAGTTAGATTTTTGTAACATTTTAGTTTCTGTGCTGATGAAAGTGTATATTGATAGTAGCGCAATATAAGTTAATTATTATCCAACTACACTTAGACGAGTACAAATAACGCCATAGCAGAGTACCAGTTAAACAGCTTTTCTTGCATCGCACAAGCGAAGAATTGGATTGTAGTTATGAAAAAAAAAGTGGCGGACAATTTGAATCATATTTCCGACGACAAAGAGTCAGAATGACTGGCAAATATAGATCCAAGTCATTTAATGAAGAAAATAGAAACAGCAACACAACAACATGCCAATTCTGTTCCGCTTCACATACTTCTGTCATGCACTTCCTGTAAATAAATATCCGCGAAATTCGCCTGCACTGAAATAACTGTTTGGTGTGTTGGATAATAAATGACTTATAGACATTTTGTTGTGTAGTATCGCTGAGTATTTTTACTTGTTATTTGTATTTTGACTGGCCCTATGGGCTCAAAATATGGTACAACTCTTAAGTTAATATTCTAAATTAAAATTGTGCTGTTCTTTCGGGGTCAACATTACTGTTTTTCTCTGTATTTAGAAAAACAAACAAGTCAACCTGCTTAAACATCACATTCATCACTATACTGCATAAAAAAGGCATTGAAAACTGAAGATCTTACCTCATCACAGGACATGTTATAATCCTCTAAAACTAATCTTGTTCTTCCTAAAATTCTATTATACACAAGTTAAAGAAACACAAATGGCAACAAGGGTCCAGCAACTGTGGATAACAAAACCTCATTTTATTGCATTCAGGACAATTGTTTACACTTGCCTCATTATTCTTAAAAAATAACTTTTTTCTCTATATCACAAAACTAGGGAAAACATGGTCAGGGTTGTCAAAAAGATTTTGAGTAACCAGACTGTGGTGTAAGTTAGGTGGAGTTAAGTTGAAGGCTGGGGGCCCCTGAGTATTTTAAAAGGCCACTGCATTTTTTCAGAGTACACAATAAAATATACAGGTGCCCAGCTTACATAATGAATGGTGCTCTGGGGGCAGCCCCTTGAATCCCTACAGGTGGAGGTAGGTAGATTCTCTTAAAGGAGAAATATACTTTAGAAACAAAGATTTTTTTAACCCCACCATTGCAAAGTTTGTGCAAAATGATAAAAGAAATGATTTCAGAATTATCCTGAAATGCACTAAAAATTTGTCTGCATACCATGCCACCTTGAAATTATCTTGTCTAGCAATCAAGTCAGCAAAATAGGAGACTTAACTTGCTGGGCACCTTGCTGAGTAAGATAGGTTTGCACATCTAATATTTTATGCAAAAGTTTGAACACTAAGATGGCAGTGAAGGATACATTTGAGGTGCCATAACCCTTCTATGAATTCCTAGCATAAATAATATGAATAAATTACAGCAACTGATTGTGAAAAATTTATGGTGCCACAGATACTGCAGTAGTGAAGGATGCTGAAAACAAAATGATGAGAACAGAAAGGTTACACCGACTATTTCAGAAAAGAAGGCTAAAGACTTAATGGATCAGTAATTCCCACTAAAATCACAAACCATCTAAACAGGTTTATATAAACGTAGTTGCTACAATGGCTAAAACACTTTTTCAAGCATCTTAGTCTCATGATATACTTGTCAACTGTTTCAAGTCTAGAGCTTAGGAGCTCCTTCTGGCTATGATATGAAAAATTCAATAATGGAAATGAAAGTGCTAATTTGCATACATTTTTCACAATATCAAACTTACATGTTGACTATCTGTGATTAATCCCCAAGCACCTGCAGCGGTTGCAACTGACGACAGAACAAGAATAACTGCAAAATAAATTATTTAAAGAGTTATTTAAACCCAGGCAGCATCTTCAAGTCGAAGGGTTCGCACACAAACAGCCACTGCCCGTGTTGCCCTCTGATTAATTAAACTGTAGGACATCTGTGTAGAAATAACACTCTTAATTGTCATACTCTTCTAAGGTTTACTTCGTGCGTATTTTTACCGTACCTTTGACCATCGAAGAGAATACTTGACCTTAAATATTGATCGAAAATGCACTTTGAAACTGAGTTCGATTTTAACAAACTTACGTCTCCATTTGCCGGTTTGTGGACCTAAACATTGCACGTACTCCGTGAGCCTTCGTTCAAATGCTTTTAGATCTGCAAACAGGAAGACACATTACGGGTAATCCTCACTCGATTTTTCACAATCTCGATGGTAAAGTGAATATTCTGCATGTCGCTTACCTTCCGTAACTTGCTGACTAGCCATGACAGAACTTCCATTTCTTTCAATTATCACAACGCATGCTCTCCGTTTGCCGGTAGAATTTTGAGCCCACAAGTGTTAATGGACAGAGGCGTATATTCCTGACGCATGAGTTGTACAACATATCTAAAATCCAAGATGGTGTCGTACTGGAGGCAAGCCGGGCTAAGGTAAGGATATCTTCGATAGTTCTGCGTCTTTGTTGATTTTGTGGAAGGGAAAAATAAAAAAAACAAAAAAAACCGCCTCTTTAACCATCATATTTAGCTGTATTTGGAGAATAACAAATATTTGGTCGGTGTTATGTGAAATTCAACGAATCATCATATTCGCCTTATTACGTTTTACGAATTTGTAACCCTCTATCATAGTTCGTTCGAGAAGAATCCCTCTGCTTACAAATACGATTCCCAATGTCACATTTTGCTGGCATAATTTGACACAATGAAAGCTTTGCGTTTTACCAGGTAGGCTTGGACAAGAATTTTCCCGAAAGTGGGTTGAACTGGTAAACAAAGAATATGTCTAATTGCGTAGAATTGAGATTGCTCTGGTGATGAAAAATATTAGACAATCTTCCCACCCTTGGAATGAAAGAACCCACAGGAATATGCCGATTATGTGATGATAGGTCTTTTTCACGCCAGGACGATGTTTCCTTTTTGGTTGCCTTGGATCCTGATGCGCACAATGACAATTTATATATTTATTTCTTCTCCTAGATGAGGAATTATTTCTTTTACCAGCCCTTTTTGTTTGTGTAATAATGTGCTCACCAACCTGTAGGAAGTAGATGATGTTTCATATGTTGAAGTGTTGAACAAGCAAGTTGATATATTTTTCTTTGTAGTTATCTGAACTACTCATCCATCTGTGCAAAGCTGGTTAGAAGATGTCTCAAGCCAGACTTACGAGTGGAGGCTCTGAGGCGTGAAGATTCTCTTATGAAGTCTGTTAAATGGGAAGGTGGCAAGCAAGCTGGGCAAGCAAGTTAGTTGTACCTTTTTAGCTGGTGTTACTGTAGGAGATTTTTTCGTCCTAACTACAGAATATTTGATCAAATATTACAAAGTTGTTTGCTTTTGCAAGATTTGGCCTTTCATCTTTTTGTTAGATCTTAGGTGATAAGATATAAGATGGATAATTTCAAGTAGTGAGTAAAGAAAATTACAGGAACAGTCATCAAGCCAGTACCAGGGAATTTTATTGCCAGTCTTCTACCTTTTATTTTACCAATTGCAGTGCACTGGGAATACTGGCCATAAGGGCTGACATATCAAGGTGCCTTTTGTAACAAGGGCTTTCATTATTTACTAGTTAATTTATGACAGAAGCACAATATTGTATTGTTGCAATGAAGTGTGTGGTGTAACAAGGCAGGGTAAAGATACTGCATGACACTTGATTGTTATTGTGATATGAATTACGGCTGTTACATCTTTGTACTTGCAGAAACTATCAGCCAGTGATGACTGAAGCGGTACTCTAACATTTACTTGAGTTTCTAAAATGGTTCAAGACTGACTGTTGTGTGAAGAGTTCAATCTCTGGACTTCATGAAGGATTGGATGTAACCTTTTTTGAATAAATATTGTGACAAAAGATTGGTGTGTGCCTAATCTCATTAGGTTAAGACTGGAAGCAAGACTGACTCATTTAGCTGCTGGAATAACTTTCCAGTTTCTGCATCCTGAAGCCACTCAGGGGTTCTGTTGCTCCCGTCTATGGAAGGCTGTTCCATCACAGGCTACCTAACCCCTTCCTCAAGCAAACTTTAGGCAAACTTTCCACCTCCCAATCTTCCAGGTTTCTAATGGAGGAGTAGCTTTTGAGTTCTGGGTGTACAGGGCTGTTATTTAAAGCTGAAGGTCATGTGGAATTCAGTGTTACTTGCCTACATTATGTGAAATTCTAGCTAACATAAAATTCATTTTTAAAGTGGTGTCCACCCTGGCCTTGTTTTTCTGACTGCCTAAGGTTCCCAGAAATTATGAGAGAAGCAATAACTGGAAATGCTTTTCTTATGTGGGCTATTCAGTTGCTATGGAAACTGGGATAAAATGTGGCAAAGTAAGCCATTTGAATTGAGTGAAGGCTTGTGAGCTTTTTTCATTTTAAGTAAGAATTAATGGTCTGTAATTGTAAACTTACCTCCAAATACTACTTATGCTAAACTCAATGGTCCCAATTTACTTATTTTTTAAACTTATATTTCTTATTTTATTCATTTTTGAAATTTTTCTGTTCTCAATTTGAAAGAGAGACTCTGGTTGATTCTGGAATTGTCTGGAAAACAAGGAGCTTGGAAGATAGTAATATAATGAGTATGTCTCTAAATCACAGCTTTTGTGAAATACATTAGGGGCAAGTTAAGTGGTGTGACAAAAACATCACACTCTGGCCAGTTAAATAAGATACTCTGCCGAGGAGAATTTTATTTCAAGATGTTCTTAACTTTGGAACTGAACAAAAATTGCAGTTAACCACTCAACTCTAAACTGTTTAAATATCATCAAAAATGTCATTACCAAGTTACTATAGGATGTACTTCTAGTTCTATAAAATACAATAATTACCATCATGTGAAAATTATAGAGAGAGCATTGTTCAAACTGTATTCATTTAGACACCTGTGCAACCTTTAAGTAACTTTTCCCATAAGCAGATGCAGGCAGCTGTCCCTGGAGAGTAGCCTTAAGGTGAAACACAAACAAATGAGCCTGGTTGCAAAATTAACAGACAATGGTAAGGTCATATGCTGCAGCAAACCAGCCTTTCATGAAATTCCTGCTTAGCTGTCAGTTTCCCTTGAGATGAATGATGTGAAACCAATACCACATGAATCACAATGGAAAAAAAAAGAAGACAAAAAAATATATATGTAGTAAATGAAGGTTATATTGAAAAAGAAGACTGTCTGGACTAAAATACAAACTACCACTGATTAGTTACCTATTTAACCCTAACCTCAGTATGCATATTCTCCATACTGTTCTGCGTACATTTCCAAAGGTGCTGACAAGGAGAATTTCATGATCAAGAGCTCCTTTTGTTGGTGATCATTTTCTTGATTCTCAAGACATTAATGTGTGATTCAGCAGAAATATTGTAAGGAGAAATTAGATGCTAGTCACTGTTAGAGGCCAAAGGGTTTAAGAAAAAAATGAAGGAAAAAACTTTTACAAAGTATATAACTCTTGTAGTACGTTCAATCCAGAAATCAGAAGGTAATGTCTGAATGAACGAAATCTTTGCATCAGCTAATTTTTATTCAGTCTGCACACTATTTTGTCAAAGTTATCTCTAAATCTGCTCCTTATAGTTCTGCTATATTTTTTTTAAGTGCTAATAGCTTTGACATAACATTGTCTCTTCTCAAGTCCATCTTTTGGCACAACATTGATTACAGTTTTTCAAAAGCTGATTAGCACTTTAAAAAGTATCAAATATTTCCAAACCAGGGTCTGATTTCTCACGACCCAAATGTTGCTAATTTCAAGTATTTTAATCAAACATCCAACAAAGTTTAATGAAACAATAATCAACCTATTCTCCATTAACAGTAGTTCATTAAATCTAGGGAAAATGTTTACATTTCCATGGAAACTCAACCTTCTGTTACATGCAGTTTGTCAACTTGAGGTATAGGGGGTAACTATACCAAGCTCAGACTGACTTGCCTCTAATTTAAAAGAAACTAATGGCTGATTTTGCTGTTTCTCTGAGTCTCTCAACAGCTTCCTCTGAGACACGAAGACAGCCTTCAATACCCAGATGCGTCAAATACGGCAGTTCATTCAAAACACTTTCAATACTGGCATCAGTGATTGACATACAACCAGTCAGACTCATGTCTGTCAATCCTTTTAAATGCACAACAGCTTGCTTGACCCCTGCATCAGTGATGAGATTTGAACCAAGATCAAGTTCTTCTAGGTTTGAAAGAGATTCAGATGCCTTTATAAGACCTCTGTCTGTTATTTTACATCCTTCAACACCAAGAGAAACCAGCTTGGGCAAATGTCGGCTGACATAAACAAACCCTTGGTCCGTGACTTTGGTCTGGTCTAATGTTAGCTGCTTGAGTTCCTTCAGGTATTTTCCTACCTCACAAACACCTGATTAAAACAAAAAAAACAAAAAAAATTATAAAATTAACCCTTTAATTTCTAAGGTCAGATTGTTAGCTCTCCCCACTAGCTGCTACACATTTCCTGGTGAATTAGTAACATGATTTTGATGTTGAATCAAGATAATAGCTTCTTCCTGATAAGTTTGAGTATTCTCATTACCTGTTGGCTGAATAATGTGTGGATATTAGTATGTGTAATCAAATGGCAACGAGCGAAATTAGGAAATAACTTCACGCGTGTTTTGTCAAAATTCTGATAATTTCCCAAGCCTGAAGGCTCGGGAAATTATCAGAATTTTGACAAAACGCAAGCGAAATTATTTCCTAATTTCACAAGAAAACCATTTGATTACCTTTTAATATTGTGGGTGACAAATTACGTTTTATATGTAGGTCCCTCATGAAAACCACCCAAGGGTGATGTGGTTTCCTCCTTAAATAAAGTTTCACTTCACTTCACTTCACTACGTTCACAACCGTAATTTTTTTTACTAGTTTATTCTATTGAAAACCGAGAACATGAAGAAGAATAAAGTTCTCGTTTAAAGCATACATTATTGTTAAAGTTTGTAATTTTCTGAGTTTCTTCACAAAAAATACCTTTAAAATTCTTCATGCCTGTTAATAATTTTTGGCTGCTTCTTTTAATTTCATACCTTCTTCAAGGATCACCGTCTTAAATCTCGATGCCATCTTGGCTCTGATCGAGATACAAGAGATTTTACCATGGCAATTTTGTAATTTCACATGTGAAATTAAAAATTAATGCTGAAATTTTGCACCAAAATTAAGGAGTAATTTGTCACCTTTGATATTATAGGGAGAACTTCAACATTCATTTGCTTCTGGGAGTTATAAGTTAATAGCATGAATTTATCTAGAAGTTCATGGGTTCTTAACCCTGTAACTCCCAACTTCTGTTTGTTAATTCTCTCCTCTACCTGCTGGACATTTCCTTGTAAATTAGTTTTAGAATTTGGTGTATTGTTAGATCAAGATAGCAAATTCTACCCAATAATAAGTTTGAGTATTCCTGTTACCTGTTTTCTGGACAATGCATGGATATAAAATGGAGAAGTTACTTGTTAATCACCTCCAGGAGTTAAAGGGTCAAATAATGAAGTGACTAGGAGCATTGCCACTCCTTCTGGATGGAAAGCTAGTCCAGTGTGTGATATCCCACCCCTTATCTCCTTCATTCCATGTGGCTTTCCTGGTATTAATTGATCCTCAGTGATAACACAGAGACTGCGAGAATAAATACCCAAGAACACAAACCGTAGTGAATAAAGGAGGTAAGTTTCTAAAGAAACTGTGGTGCTGTGTTGGTGGGTAACAAGGTAAATTTGATTTTATCAATTGAGTTGAAATTGTAGATTGGCCACTGTAAAGAGATAAAAACTTGATGTTTCGAGTGTTAGCCCTTTGTCATTCGCTCTGACAAAGGGTTAGTGCTCAAAATGTCACCTTTTAACTATTCATGGGGGCCAATTTACAATTTCAATTAAGTTGTTAAAACCAAACTACATAGTGACCTTGGCTGGTGCTCAAACCCGGACCGTTTCACCAACATTCTGGTGCTGTGAGCACCTTATCGCTTTACATCACATAGACCACAGAAATGTAAATTAGAAATGAATCTGGAGATACAAATTTGGACATGGTCTAATTCTTCCGTTGATTTACCTTTGTTTGAAACACGGCTGCAGTAGGACAAATTCAAATGCTGTAATTGTGTCAAGTTGAAGGCAAGAATTGCAACACCTGAGTTTGTCACTCCACAACAGTCCATCAAATCAAGACTTGTCAGATTCTTCATGAAGTTTGCAATGTATTTCACCCCCACGTTTGTGAGTTTGGAATGGGATGACAATATCAAAGACTTCAAATCCTTTAAAAATGGAGCCATCCTTGCCATGCCATCATTGCTTATTTCACAGTGTCTCAGGTCTAATGTTTTCAAATGAGTCAATTTGCTGGCAATTATTGCAACTCCTCTGTCTGCTAACTTTTGACTTCTGAGCGACAATGACTCAAGATTCTGCAAGTGTGAGCCAATGAGATCTGCAGTGCTGTCACTGATTGTTTCCACATACCCAACATCCAGCACCTTCAAATTTGGCAGGCTTTTTATCAGTGTGTGTATAGCAGAGTCACTGATACCATCACAGAAGTCGAATGCTAGACATCTTAGCTCTGTTAGCTTGGAAATATCCACGAACATATTTTCAATGTCTTGAACATTGTTTGCAAAATGCATGTGATCACCCCCACCAAAAGACAAGTGTTTGATTTTATTCAAGTGCTTTGTCACGTGGCCAATACCATCACTTGTCACAAATGGACAATCCTTAACATCCAAAAATGTGACATCAGGAAGATTCTTTGCCACTAATTCAACAGCACCATCAGTTATTCCATGACTCCATTTGAAATCAAGTACTGATAAGTTTTTCAGATTCTCCACAACAAAGCGGATACCAAGTACAGTAACCCAGTCACAGCCCCGTAAACTAAGTTGTGACACTTTAGGGCAGCAGAGTGCAAGTGTCTTGAGACACCCATCAGTAAGACCTTCACACCATGTTAAATCTAGCACTTCCAGTTCACTTAAGTGCTTGATGAAACCTTGGAATCCAGTCTCAGTGATGTTATCGCAATCTTCCATGGTAAAACTTTTCAGCTTCTTGAGTTGTGGACCACAAGCTTCCAAAACACCGTCTGACAAACGTCCACATCTCCTGAACGAAAGATGTTCCAGTTGGTGCAATTTGGGAATTTCAATTTTGAGTAACGTTTCGCTAACCTGAGGGCATCCGCCCAAATTCAAATGAGTAATCTCCGGCAAATGAGAAAAAAGAATTGACAAGTCTTCACTGTTAGCTCTAGAGCAGTTGACCTTTCTTATTCTCCGCTTGCTCAAACTTTTGACGAGTACCTCGGAACAGTCCAAAGGTAGAACTATCGTTATTCCGCGCCATAACGACGGAAGGTAGGACACTTTATACCACAAACGACACACTTGAGCAACAGTTTGCTTCTCTGACACGTCCAGAAACGAAAACACTAGTGCTGCAATATCTGGAATAAGAGGGCCTTGGTGATCGACAGAAATATTCATTGAGTCTTCTTGTCATTAATCTCCGTTTCTTTTTCCAGAAACGGTATGCAAAAAAGATAAACTATGCTTTAACCATGGCCTCCATGGAATATCTCACGAGGAGAACGTTTTCTTTCTGTCATAAAATTTCCATACAAGTCCCGCTCTGCAGTATTCTATAAAAATTAAACATGGTTGCTCATAACTGAGTATAGCTGACCGGTGTTTCTAATGAGAGACTGGTATCGAAACACCGAAGTTGTCCGAAGTTTTACGAACTCACAGTTTTCAAAATGGCGAACGAGCCAGACAGCAACGGAAAAGTTCCTGAACCAGTAGAATGCAAATTTACCGTGCACACGTTCTCTGATACGCTTCTTGATCAAAAGGTTCATTTTCAAATTCTTAAAATGACAGACAGTTTGTATGTTTGGATTGGAACATCTCCGGAAATGGGTGCCCTTGCTGTAGCCATGTGCACTAAATACGTAAGTGGCAACCGTTAGAGATCTGAGATGGATTAAATGGACTGGTATTTCCATTGCGTGTTAGAAATCAAGGGGTAGGTTAGGAAAGGGGTAATGTGAAACTGTTTTTGTAACATGTCTCTCAATATGTGCCGATCCATCAAAAGTTTCCCAAGGCCAGGAAAAGTGAGTTTTATTTGCTGAAAGCCAAATTTAATAACTTGAAAAAGGTAAGAAAGGGATGAAGTGTAGGTAAATTATTTACATATTTGAATCTTGGGGTGGAGCACCCTGCGTGTCCATGTCTTCCTGGAGTCTCCCCCCATCCCACCCCCAACCGATCCAAGAGAGAGAGAGAGAGAGAGAGCGAGTTCAATTCAATGACTAAAATTTTTGCATTTATCGTGACAGGATCCAGTGCCATCTGTTGTCAACCTTATGGGAAATAAAGCTGATCTAAGCTCAACTACCTTGGCACAAAGGCTTGGTAAGTGAATAGGTGTCATTAGCGCTGAATCTTTGTCTTCCAGCCCCAGACACTTTGCTCTAAACGTAATACCAGTAATTGAATTTGATTCATTTCTTTCCTTCTCCTTTTTTCGTATGAGAGTGGACTCTGATAGCAACCTTCTGTGATTCTGGAAGTCACTGCAACTATTAAGTAGAATTTCTCTCTTCAATTGCAGCTAAGAAGACCAACAAACAGTGCTTTGTGAGTTATAACATACCAACAGAAAACATGCTGCTAGGCTTAGTGGAACAAAGAATTAACCAGGAAATGAAAGAAAAACCACAGCTTTTCTAAACAGTGTTCAAAGTCTCTGGTTGCCCGGAAAGACATGTTCTTTTCTGCAATAAGGAGGGTAATGACAAATCAGAAGTAGAGTCAAGACATTTTATCCTGAAATGTGATAACAGAAAGATGATTTCTACATCTCTTGCTTTGTACCACAATTTACACCATGGTCACCAGCCATTACATTTGAAACCACATTTTTGAGAAGTACTTTGATATCAGACTTGAGAGAATTGGCCGATGAAGTTTAATAACATGGTGGTTGTTGGAATACGGAAGACTTTGCAAGACTGTGAAGGGTACAGTTTAAAAAGCAGTTACTGCTGGAAACAGATCTTGCTGTTGTTTTGAATTGAAGTTTACTGGTAACTCTATTAAAGTTTGGTGATCTTTTGAGGAGGGAAAGGTTTCTCATCCAACAGTGAAGCAAGAGATCAGGGCTGAACACTAACTTTTCAACTTACTGGCCATGTGGCTACTGACATCTTAGATGTTGCAACAATTTCATTTTGTTTACTAGCCAAACTGGCTGGTGGAAATTGAAAACCACAAGCCAAAACTGAACTTGTACTAGTCTGGCTAGTTGGGTACTGTTAATGTCAAGCCCTGGAGATGCCTAGTATGTGAAGTGTGCAAGGGTTTTGCAAGAACAGGAGAATCATTTCATTATGTAATAAATACAACAATTTACAGGAGAATGAGAATACCTTGTTCAAGGCTTTCATTGGGTGGGGATGAGTGAAGTAATATATATAAATTTGATCTATGAATGAAATTGAGCTTGCTTGGCTTTTCCAAGTGATAGTACATAATGAGGCAAGGGCCCACCTCAGTTGAACATGGTAACGCAGCATTTGATATACCATATTTATTCACCATTTTTTACGAGAAAATATGCTTGTTTGATCAAAATCTGCTCAAAACTTGGAGTGCATCTTAAAACTGAGTATTTTTGTGCAACAAAATCTTAAAGTCCCTAGTCACCCTCAGAGGTTTATATATATTTTGATTTTTGGGTCATCAGGATTAATCTCAAAAAAATTTTTGTGATTCACTAAATATTTCCCAAGATATGCCACCTCAGTTACTCTTTTGGCCACACCCTTTTGACTTGGCCGGGAGAGAATTACTGGGCCGAGTGATGTCACAGCAAGAATGAATGTTAACTTCTTGTTTAAGAACATATGTCTATTGCTGTAAAATGATGTGAAAATGCCAACTCGTTGCGTGGTTGCTGGTTGCTCAAATACACTAGATTTGTCTAAAGGCATATGCAAGTGAATGTAGGCACATCGATTGAAAGACGTTCTTGCTGTGACGTCATGAGGGCTTTTAGTTACCAGTATTAACTTAGCCCAGCCAAATCAGAAGGGTGTGGCCAAAGGACAAACTTTGAGGCAGCTCAATGGATAGAGAGCTGGACTGTTGTGCGGGAGGTCGAAGGTTCGAGCCCTGGCCGGACCAACATTCAAGGTCTTAAAATAATTGAGAAGAATTTGCTACCTTTCTATAACATCAAGAAATGGTTAGATATTCTAGTCTTCTCGGATAGGGACGAATAAATGGAGGTCCCGTCTCCTGCAGGGTTGGGGTAGGAGACGTTAATTTCCCACACATGAGATTACTGTGTGATGGATGTCCTCCCCTGGGGTGCGATGGGTGGGAGGGTGGACTGGCACGAATGGTTCCTATGTTCCTTTCTAGTCTTTCCCCACTGCAAAACTTAATGCAGTGAAAATGGACTAAATTAAATTAAATTATATCTCAAGAAATATTTCATCAATCAAAAAATTTTTGGAGATTAATCCTGATAACGCAAAGAATCGAAATGTATATAAACCTCAGAGGGTGAATAGGGACTTTAAGATCACAATTGTACCAGAACTTACAGTTACGAAGACATGAAAAGAATGCTAATTGTTGGTCATTAACTCTGTAGCGTTTTGATATTCAGCTGTCGAACTGGAAGTTTTTCACCATTTGCTTTCACCACCAGAGCAACCGTGAAACTTTTTCAGATCCATCACACCTTTTGTTAACTCTCAACCTTTTGGTGCGTCTTATAACCAAGTATTTTCACAAAACTTTTCATTTGGGAACTGGCTTGGCTAAGTTGCCAAGTTTGGGGTGTGTCTTATAACGAGTGAGTCTTATACAGTCCAACCTCTATTAAGCAGCCACCCCCCCCCCCGACTTTGAAAAGTGGACGCTTAATAGAGGTTGGCCGCTTAATAGAGGTACAATTTTAATTGGATAGGAATGGCAGAAAACATGATTTTATTGACTCTATATAGCAAATTACTTTTAAAAAGTGAACATATAGGAAGATAAATCCAAAATTCATTGTAACAAAACATCAAGTGCATTTCCAGCACATGCATAGTTCTAGCTCTAAAACAGAGGGCACGTAGGGCTTATAGCCCCATGGCTAACAAAATTTCTCAAGAGGCCAACAAACTAAGGAACAGCTGTTGTGAAAGGCAAACACGTAAACAGAGGGGCCTGCTATGGTTTAGAAATTCCATGTGAGTACTGCTTCACAGTGGACAAGTTTTCAATTCAGTGGTTAAAATCAAAACTTGAGGAGAATGGATTTTTGTAGATTTTCAGTACAGTAGTAATAAAGTTTTGCTGTACAGATTTTGGTTGAAACAAAACAGTGGTTCAGCTCTATTGTTAGCTATTGTTATGTTTGTATAGCACCGGATGTGAAAAGTTTGCATGTGTATGTGGCTTGTGACTTGTTATGGTGGAGATTAAATTGTAGTTCTTGTTTTCTTGTTGTTATCACCTTATATCATGTCACCATTTCGCTTGGAAAGATAATTTGATGGCCGCTTAATGGAGGTAAAAAACCATGTAAATAATACACTTGCGACAGCACAAAGGTGGCCGCGGCCGCTTAATAGAGGTGGTTGTTGAATAGAGGTATCAAATACACCAGTTAACTGAGAAATAAATCCTGACTTTAGAAAGTGGCCGCATAATGGAGGGTGGCCGCTTAATAGAGGTCGGACGGTAACTGAATAACTACAGTACTCTCTCTTTTAGTGTGCATTTGCTAACAAATTACAGGAGAAAATATACAAAACACTAATACTTGTAGGAGAAAGATTTACATCAGAGGAAAAATAATACACCACTAAAAGGGGCATGAAACATGAAATAGAGTGTGGTGTAATTTACATAAAGCACAGAAATAATAGTGCATAGATGATTAGTGAAAAAACAAAAAGAATAAGTGTAAATTAATGGGTGCAAAAACAACAAGACTTATCGGTAAGAAATCAAGAAAATTGTACATTTGCCAAAACAGGATTCTTCAACAATTCCTTAACTGTTGAAGTAAGAAAAGAGAGTAAGATAGATACACATGCGCCCAGTTTTGTAACCCTACATTATTACACGACTCAGGCAGTCAGAGGGCCAATAACTAAAATCAACCACTCAAAATGCTCTATTGCCGGTCAGTATTCTCTAAGTATTGGACTGGGCACTGTCTCGAATGGTCCCAAATGGTACCGCACTTGTGTCCCTTTGAACTTCAGTCGTATAATAAATCTCTTATTAACCAAGCTTTCTTGGGACGGTACTAGAAGAATATCAGCCCTCGGTCTTTTTTGTACGAACTGAGCTGTGCTCGTCAAGACCTCGGGCCAATATTCTCCCAGTACGGCCCTCGTGCTTGGTTAATAAGATATATGTACAGGACCTTGACACTCTTCTGATGATTGTATTACTGGCTCCATACACAGGCATGATGACATGAGTTAGAGCACAATTAAGTTGAATTGCTTGAAACCATAACCAAAGTAGTCGCCACAGCCAATTAGGGGAAAGAAAAATATTACAAGAAGCCAATAAGAGTGGGAGTGGGAAATTACAAGTGAATTTTGTTCACACAAGAAAGAAGAGCTAAACCAAAGCAATCTGGGATTACTTTATTATGACACTATTAAAATTTGCTCTGTTTGGTCATTCTTATCCTTAAATGACCGAGCTTGTCTAGTCAAGATGACTACATGTCGCCCACCCTCATTTCTTTTGAACAAAGGCAAAATTCAAACAAAGCGAAAAAAAAGAGTGTTTATTGGTCATGGAAAACTTGGAAAGTCAAGGAGTCTCATATTGTTTTCCAGGCCTCACCACATGTCACAGCCTGGAAGGTCATGGAATCTTAGAGTGGGTCAAAAGTCAAGGAAAATTTCCTTAAATGAAACTCTAGAGAATAACTATTAAAAGGCCTCTGGTATTTGATTGTTTTTACTCTACCATGGAGCTTCCTTATGGCATGTGAAGCAAAATTTCAAAAAAATATTAAGGTCACTGAAAGTCATGAAGTTTTGCTTTTGAAAGGGTATGGATCCTGAATCCATGTTACAATTTCTAATGGAAGAGAGACAGGTGAAATAAACAATTTATTACCATGACTGATAATTAGAACATTAATTTTGCAGTACTTGGCATCAGACCCATTAAATTTGATAACATTACACAAAAGTGAACAACACTTGATATTCTACAAATATAGGCACCTTATTTACAATTTAAATTCATTCAATTTAGCAAACCTAACACCATCTATAACTTTGTCAATAAGCAAAGGTTATTTTTTAAGCAAGTTAAACTTTCCCCTGAATACCCTAAATGCCACTCTTCTGAAAGCCGCTCTTTATCAACAGAACTTATGAGATTATAAGAAAGATCTAGTTCAGTAAGACAACTTTCCCTGTCTCTTTGTGAAATTGAAGTTTTCAAAGCATCAAAGAATGACTCCTCAAGAGGTGACTGCACTCCACAAGTTGACAAATTTAGCTTTCTGAGGGTTTTACTGTCCTTAGTTGCCACAAGCAAACGCTGGAGTCCATCACGATCAGTGAAAATTTCTTCATTACCAGCCAGAATAAGAGTTGAGAGTTTGCAGCTTTCCTTCACAAGTCTTAAAAAAAAAAAAAAAATGAAAGTATGAAATCAATGTTACTGAGAGAGGATTATCAGCTTGTGAATGAGTCATTAGCAAGAACCCCCAGGGCTTGACACTAACTTTTCAACTTCCTAGCCAAGTGGCTAGTGACAACTTAGATGTTACAACAATTTCAGTTTGTTTGCCAAACTGGCTAGTGGAAATCGAAAACCACTGGCCAAAACTGAATTTCTACCAGTCTGTGGCTAGTTGGCTATTGTTAGTGTCAAGCCCTGACCCCATTTGAATAGACCCACTTCAACCATATTTTTCCATATTTGCCATGTGATCAAAAAACAACCTCAGTTTAATTCTCATGTTATATTTAGCAAATTCAGCAAGTTTCAGACGAGTCTTTTACAAAATTAAGAAAATACAGGGAGTCAACAAGTGTGCAAATGGCTCATAATCATGTCAGACATTTTCTGAAAAAAATGAATTCTAGTTGCATACTTAAGGTTATAAAGAATGATGTGTATGGTTGGAAATTTAAAACCAAAGCACTATGCTGGTTTGTAGGCCTTCCTATCTGTTGTTAAATTCTTACTCTCAGTTGCACTGCTGTTATCTCCATGGTTTAAGTGCATTTTCCAAAGGTAAACTTCAGCAATGCAGAGCAATCAGTACCAGTATGTGAGAAATCATTGTTTTTGAGTCTAACCTTTCAAGTAATGGTAATCCATTGGTGCCAATTTTGTTGCAACTCAGATCCAGACTGAGAATAGAGAACATATGCCTCGCTTTGAGGAGAAGCTCCAGGTCCTTGTCATCAATACTGCAATCTCCAAGAACCAGATGAGAAAGGATACAGCCAATCTAAAAATACCAACAACATGTTATAGTGTTAAAACTACAAAAATCTCAAAAGTAAGAGATCAAATATTTCTCAGAGCCCATCCTAAAATGGGGATGGTGTAGATTTACTGATGGTGTAGATTACTTTTTGCAATGTTTGCAGCTAACTTCTAAATTTTTTAATGTCATCAAAATGTCAATTCATGCTGCATATTAAAGATTTAAGACCCAAAATACTGCAGAGACCTTAAATTCTACACAAAACTAAGCATTGCATGTAACAATGTATGGTATTATTGGCAACCGCTGACAAGTCGGCCGGCTTAGAAAATGTAGTTTGTACATTCTACATGTTGGCTAACATTAAAGATCGTTATATTCAATCTTGTTCAATCCTGAGCTTTCAAGATCCTTACAATGCAGAGATTTATCAAATTACAAAACCTAGAACAAGACAAGAAAGAATGTTTACTTAACATTTGGGAAATTTTGAACATACCAAAATCTCACAACAGAGCTAATGCCATCTTCTTTTATTGACAATAACTACTTAGTTTGTACATACTTCCATGAATCTTTCTATACTGTGGAAGGCCAATTGATTTCCTTTATCTTGCAGTGATGAGGTTATATTCAAGTGACTCAGTGACTCAGGTGGAAGAACTGTCATCAAATCTGTTATTCCTTGAGGGCCAAGAGAATTGAAGGCTACAGACAAATGCAATAGCTTTGATCCTGAAAGAGTAAAATATATGTCACTTAATTTGAGCGTATTTCATAAATTAGTCCTTTTGGAGGAATGTCTAACTACCCATGGCTAGTATGAAAAAAGTATGATCTGTATTTCAGTGCACCTCAAGATATCAAAGCTGATAAGATGCCTAGAAAATCTTTTAACTTTATTGAAAGCTCACCATTTAAAGAGCTTCTGGTACAATCTACCAGTCCTCTAGGGCAAAAGAGAAAAAATTAAATAATTCAAGCTAGGGAAAATGTACAGCAAACTTTTGGAGAATGAGATTGACTATTCATGCTGTCTATGATCAAACAGAAAACAAAAGCTAAAATGTACTCTCAAAGCAACTAACACACATGGAGATTATCCTCTGATTATTCCTCTCCACACATGGCCACCTAGTTCACCAGGCTTAAGCAACCCCTCTCCCTATTGCAATCTCCCATAGTGAGATGTATCTTTAGGTAATTGCATGGGGCCGAGTAAAATTAAGGATTAATATCACAGGTGTTTTTGGAAGTTGCTGAAATTACCCAAGTCGCGCAGCGACGAGGGCAATTTCTGCAACTTTTGAAAACACAAGTGATATTAATCCTTAATTTTACGAGGAACCATGTGATTACTTGCTTATAATATAAGGGGCAAAATGTTTTCTTACTGATCTCGCGCAAAACGGGCAGGACGCCATTGTTACAAAACAAACAGAAATTTCTTTACCTTGGCAGCCATTGCTAAGCGATTTTCAGCCAATCATTTTCAAGTAATTTTGCCCGGGGCAATTACAAAAATTAAGAAAAAATGCCCTCTGTCTTGACCAATCACAATTCAGTAATTTTGCCCCTTATACGATAAACCCTGTTATCTTAAGTCAGGCATCTTTCACAAATGTCTCGGCTAAGGATCTTGATTTTATCCTGATTATGATTTGACTAAGTGAAGTACCCACTCTTATAATTTATAATATTATGTTCAGATGTGTGCCTACACAGGCATTCACCTTTAAAGGCTGAGGCAAGTGCTTTTCCCTGGGAAACAACTTCATGAGTCAACCCACAAGATTCTATTCTTAGATAAGTTAGAATGGGACACCCTTTAAGAATGACAGCCAATGAACTTCCAGCACTGTCTCCCAACAGGTTATAGCTGAAACTAAGTTCCTCCAACTTTTGAAGAATACAATTCTGTATAAAGAGACACCATAGTTATAGTTAATTGTGAATCTTTCTAATATTCTTTTATTTGAGGCAACAATAATACTTCATTGCTTACAAAGGTGCAATACATACAAACATGATCTACTGAGCTTAACAAACCTGACTAAGTTAAAGTCAAAGAACTTTGTAAACATTTTTTGAAAAGCAAACGTGAGTGAAATTGTAAGAAAATTTACTTTCAACAAGAGCATAATCAAAATCTCTGATGGTAAGCAACAAAACTACTAATTTTTTCTTTATCAATGAACTTAAAATGGTCCCTACAAGTCTCAGCTCGCCTTCAAGTAGCAACAGGGGCTGAAAGGTAAAAGTTGCTTAACTTGTTCGAAATGTGGGTCACTATTTTCAAAACAAGGAAAAACAAATGTTAGTGACAGCTATTCCACTTCATTAGGAGCCACTTCCAAACCTGTTGGGTTCCTGAACTCAAGGAGTCCTTAGAAGTTAAAGCACCAGCAACCAAGGACAGTCCTTTGTAAGTTATTCCGTTGGAAGTCAGGTCCAGTATGGCAAGGGAGGGGAGGGTTGGAAGAGCTGACACTAGATGCTGGATGCCAGAGTCACCTGAGTGAGAATTGAAATAAATTACTTTTAATCAAACAAAACATTTTGTGTCACTGTGCTTATCGAGTTACAATATGAATATAGGATGTATTCATGAGTTTTGAGATAATATCACTAGAACCTTTTTGTACATACCTATCCTGTTACCAGGCAATGAGAGCTTTGTCAAAGTGTCATGACACTGCAGAGCTCTGAAGAGTGGCAGCACAAAAATATCTTGTAAAGCTTTGTTTGCTAGATGGAGGCTTGACAGGTGAGGATCTGCTTCAAGGATGTGTAGTACATCTACCTGAAGTACTAGGGACAAAAAAATAGATATTAAAAAAATGTCAAAAACTGTACTGGTACAACTCTTAAAAGCAAGTGTAGTGAGAAAAAACCAAGAATCCGAAAACAAAACACTGATATACACTGAATGAGGTGCTAGATTTCTGATCAGATTAATTCTGTTTTTAAAGGAATGAGGTATCAAACAAATATGTTGTTTGATTAATGAGATGCACACTAGTATTTTAAGTGTTTTTTTGGAATCCTGCACTTTGGTGCAGATTTTCAACCTGTTGGTTGGCATGGCAAGTATAAATTTTAAGACTATGTAAAAACCCTAGAAATTTCATGCAAAGTGAAAGGAAGAGCAAGGAAATCCCTTGAAAATCTACTGTGATGGCTAAGAAGTAAGAAAGTTTTATGTTATTTACACCATAGAAAACTACACAGGTACCGTATTTATTCACTTCTAAGGTGCACCATTTTTTACGAGAACATATGCTTGTTTGATCAAAATCTGCTCAAAACTTGGGGTGCATCTTATAACCGAATAACTATGGTACATTATTTTCATTGGACAAGAGATTTATCAAGACAAGTAAGCACAGCAAATGTGTCTGACCAAAACACACAAAAAGGTAATAAAAATACAGTCAACAGAAGGTAACCAAATAGATGGCATTTTTCAAGACCCATCTTCCTGAATTTTGTAAAGTATTATTTACCAGTGTTGGTGTTGAGGCATGCATCACGATATCTTTCTGACAATGGTGGTAAGTCCCAAGATTCTACCGATGCTATAACTTCTTCATTACTTGAAAGCACATCTGTGACTTTATCCTCCACTGACAAGAAAGCACCCTCCTTTGTTTTCAGGGCTAACTTGGGACGAAGACCAGAAGAGGAAAAGTATCTGAGGGAAGCCTTTGAGATAAAAACAACAAGAAGTCCAAAATTAAAAAACAAAGAGAAATAAAAGCAAATCAAAATTTCTTTGTGTTAATAAACTGGGGGAGGTGTGGTGGCCTTGTGGTTCGTGTGCTTGACTCTAAATCAGGTGTACTGGGTTTGAGCCCTGGCCAGGGACATTGTGTTGTGCTCTTGGAGCAAGACAGTTTACTCTCACAGTGCCTCTATTCACACTCAATAGTAAAAGTACTTTTACAAAGTTATGATAGAATTCTAGAATACTGCAATTGTGTCATAAGAGACAGTGAAGTGTTAAATTAACCCTTTACACCCTAACATCAGTTTGCTTTTTCACCACACTGTTGTCTATAAATTTCCAAAGGTGCTGACAATGAGAATCAGTTTGGCAATCAAGAGCTTTTTTAACTTGTACATCATTTCCTTTATTCTTGTGACCTTAACGTTTGCTTCAAGGTGATATTGTAAGGTCTGTTTATGAGCCAGTGGCCCATAAGGCTGGTGCTTAACTCCGGATTCTGTAGCATGAAGCAACTAGGAGTATTTCTTTTGCCCCCTGGATGGGATACTAGTCCATTGCAGGGTTACCCCCCAGCATGAAATTTGCCGGTATCCATTTTAACACCTTGGTGAAGAGAGGCACTGTGAGGGTAAAGTGTCTTGCCTTTAAAGAACACAACACAATGTCCCCGGCTGGGGCTCGAACCTGGACCACTCGATCTGGAGTCGAGCGTAGACCATGCCCAAAATAGGATTGTTATTTTCTTGTTTTTTGCTTAGCACAGATGATTAAGGTACTATTAAAATTAAGCTGATTTTACCAGACTTGTTTAAGTTGTGATGTTTTTGCCCATTATATATGTACAAATTTTATCTTTCTTTTATTTGTTTATCTACACCTATGCAAAGGAATTATAATTTTAGGAAATAATCGGTTGAAAAAGAAGATAAAATAGACAGGTCTAACGGCTGAGTAATAAACCTTCCAAAGCCATGATGAGTTGTCCGTACCAAGTACTAACGGACTAACGTACTAAAGAGGTGAACAACAAGCCGTGATGAGTTGACCGTACCTAGTACTAGCATACTAACGGACTAAACAGATGTACAACAAGCCATGCTTGCTCAAGAGTAGTAGTTAGTACGCTAGTATGTAGGTATTCATGCTCGCTCGAGAGTTGTAGTTAGTACGCTAGTACATAGAAATTCATGCTCGCTCAAGAGTAGTGGTTAGTATGCTAGTTCGTAGAAATTCATGCTCGCTCGAGAGTAGTAGTTAGTACGTTAGTACGTAGGAATTCATGCTCGCTCGAGAGTTGTAGTTAGTATGCTAGTACGTAGGTATTCATGCTCGCTCGAGAGTTGTAGTTAGTACACTCATACGTAGAAATTCATGCTCGCTTGAGAGTAGTAGTTAGTACGTTAGTAACGCTAGTACGTAGGTATTCATGCTCGCTCGTAGGAATTTATGCTAGCTCGAGAGAGAAGAGTGTGCTAAATAGGCACTGTTAGTACTGTAGTACTGATGAAAGCTGTTAATACGGTAGTACTGATGAATAAGCAAAAATCTACAGAAAAGCATTCCTATAATAGGCAGCATATGGTCGAGCACACCAACCATGAGGCCACTGTACCTCCACAAGGTGATATTGTAGGGATAAATTAGATACTAGACACCAAAGGATAAAATGGTCCTACACCTGTTTGAGCCCAAGTTTAGTCACATCTATCAAATAAATCTGATTAACTTAAAGAAAATAAATTATAAAAAATAGATGAATATGGAATGAGCAAGAAAAGATGTGAAACCCATGAATTATGAGCCCTAAGTGATAACATGTATCTAGGCCTAACACTAGAGATGTAAACTGAAGAGAGACAAAGCAAAACAAACCTGCTCAGCTAACCACCCAACACACTTAGCTTCTTGTGCATTGCCTTGAGGACATGGTATAAGAAACATTTTATCCTGCACCCATACTCTAAGGCGCATAGGTGGAGTTCCTCCTGGGGCTACTGTGTGTCTTGAACTTGTTGCAGGAAGGTCATAAATACTAGTTCTTACATCTGGAGAAGTTACCTCTAATCTAGTTGATAATGAAGTTGCAGGATCATTTGGAGACCAACAATTTGTTGTATAATTATGATTAGAGGACATGGCACTATTTGCACTTGCTGGTGCTCTAGGTTCTTGTGATACAACCAACTTTGATTGCTTTGGGCGAGGACCTGTATGAGTATTACTGAGACTTAACCGTTGTCTTGGCCCAGATGTTTGTTTGGTGCGTTCAGTTGATCTAGCAAGGTTTGTCAGCTTTGCTTGACGTTTACGTTTTGCCCTCCTTGGCCCAACATCATCGACAAGCCATTCTGCAGCTTTTTGAGACACATGAGATGCCACTGGGCCAGTTAAAGAGCTGCTAATATCATGCGATGTTCCTGCTACTGGATCAGGTATTGAGCTATTTGACTCAAAATCAGAGCTTTGATCATCCAAATCATCCATAGATGAGTATGTGCTGTCATCCTCACCTATCTCAACTCCAAAATTGTAAAAGGGTTCAAAGGGTGCCTCATCAGTTTCACAAGAAAACACATCATTAGCACTGCCAACCAGTTGTTGAACAGAAGAATCTACTGGTTTACCAGGAGAATTAGAATCATCATCCGCACTTAAAACAGCTCCTTTGCTATGTTTCTTTTGATGATGTGGTTCATCCACATAGCCTTGTTTGCTGTTGTCTAAAATATTTTTGTTCATCCTTTGAAGTCTTTCGATCTCTTTCTTCTTCAATTTATCATTGAATCTTTGCAGAGTACTTGTACTCTCTTCAGAAGATTCCTCAGCTTCTTCATCTTCATCAAACACTACATTTCTTCTCCTTAGTTCTGAACTATTTTTCGTTTCTTTGTAATTGCGAAGAAGTTTAACCACCTGTTGTCTTCCAGTAGACAGTTCATCATCAGCTTTATCAATTTTGAGTGTCTGAATGGTTGCTTCCAAGGCTGTACGACCCTAGTGACAAAAAAAAAATTAGAACAAAATAGAGTATTTAAACCAACACATCAGTATCTGTGGGTATTATAAACTGTGTGGATAAACAAGGCATTTATAAAATTGTCAAATGGCTATATAATTAATGCCAATTTTACCATGATGTGAAGTGGAAACTGCAGCTGAACAGTGATAAACATTTTTATTACACGACTCGGGCAGTCAGAGGGCCAATAACTAAAATCAACCAATCAAAATGCTCTATTGCCGGTCAATATTCTCTCAGTATTAGACCGGGAACTGTCCCGAATGGTCCCGAATGATACCGCACTTGTGTCCCTTTGAACTTCAGTCCTGTAATAAATCTCTTATTAACCAAGCTTGCTCGGGACTGTACTGGAAGAATATCAGCCCTCACTCTTTTTTGTAAGGACCTTGCTGCGCTTGGTCCGTACTGTCAAGACTTCAGGCCAATATTCTCCCACTACGGCCCTCGCACTTGGTTAATGAGATATATATCTTGTTGCACAACTATTGTAATTAGCACCTCAACACTTGCACCTTCGTTATTCACACCCCCATACCACAATACCTGTAATTACCATATCTGCAGCTGCACCCGTATATATCTGTGGACAAGCTCATTCAAGTGCAGTTTTGAACACGATAAGTAACAGTCAACAATCTTAACTTCATATCCTTTTGACCAGGCTTACCAGTGATGTAAAAAATAACCAGAGATTGAAATATTGAAGTTAGAGTACTTTGTTAGTTGCAGACAATCAATTCTTCAATTCAGAAACAAATTGCCTACCAAAAAATAACTAAAAGAATACTCCCATCTTTATAAAAATGATCCCTGTTTCCAATCATGCAAAGGAATATTAAACTCACACTCTTTTACTTGACCAGCAGAACATTAACCTTTCAAATCTCAGAAGTGATTAATAATGACTTCTCTCTATAATATCCCACACTTTATTCAGTAAACAGGTAACGAGAATAATCAAACTTATCTGGGTTTATCTGGGTTATATCTGGGTTATAGGTTTTTATCCCATTTAACTTTATTTTTGTTAGTGTAGGTACTACTGACTGTTGGTATCACTGTTATATTTTATTTTTAATATGCTATGTAAGTGCATTGAGATCCGTAAATGTGCTAATAAAAACCTAACTATCATCATTATTACTATTATTATTATAGAAGTTGCAATCTAGATCTAACACCAATGTTTCAAAATTTAAAAGGAAATGTGTAGCAGCTAAAGGGGAGAATTAGCGATCGCTTCTTGAGAGTTGAAAGATTAACCAGGAAATAAATAGCAATATTTTCCAATGTTTCTTTTTTAACCTTTCCAGTCACATAGAGGGTCTGAGTATGAAGAATATGAAAAATACTTATTCAATAATAATTCATATGCAGGACTGGAGGCTGTAACCTTTGGTGGTATTTTATTTTTCAGGATCCTTTTTCGGCTAGAATATATTTTAACAGATACGAGACAATCACCAAAATACACAGAAATTACATCGTAGAGCCCCCCAAAATATTCTTGTCTTGTAAACTACCTGACTTATGATTTACAATGCTTCTGTGGATTTCTCCAAACTAACCTTGTCATCTTTCAGATTAATGGATGCTCCATGAGACAACAGGAGTTTGACCACATGGACATGCCCATTCTCAGCTGCATCATGGAGGGGTGTCACTCCACAGCAGTGTTCACCACTCTGGTCATTCACATTTGACCCTGCCACAAGCAAAAGCTTGGCCACCTCTACAAATCAAAAGATAAAGTCAGTTTCTGAGTCAGAAGGCCCATCCTGTAGGAGTTTATCCCAGTTTCATTGAAAGTAAAGGTAAAGTTTGTATATGAGCCAAGGGGCCCATCAGGTAGCTGGCACATATCTCCAGTTTCCGTAGCATGAAGCAACTAGGGGTATTTCTACCCCCCTCTTGATGGGATGCTGGTCCATCGCAATGTTACCCCCAAGCATTAAATTGGCCAGTACCCATTTAAATGCCTGGGCAGAGAGGAGAGGCACTGTGAGTATAATTTGTCTTGCCCAAGAACATAGCACAATGTCCTAGCCAGTGCTTACTGGTAAACCTGGACCACTCAATCTGGAGTTAAGTGCAACAAACATGTGGCCACCACAAGTCCCCCAGTTTTATTAGCATGAAGAAATTACCCATGGTATGACCGTCTATAACAGGTTTTTCCCTTCAGTATTTCAACCAATTTTGAGTTTTCCTGGTAGTTAGCTGGTACCCCTTTCTACACCTGGCCGCAGTTGTTCATAGGCTGGATAGCACTATCCCCTCGACAAATCGCTTTGCCGTGGAGAAAACATACTAGGCTATCTGCTGGATAGCAATTTATCCAGTGGATAGCCTGATCAAGCCTTCCAACAAGCAGGGCCTGGTTGGAGAGAAGCACTGAGAGGGTGAAGTGTCTTCTTGGGTCCAGGAACACAGCAGAGTGATCCAGCCAAAGCCCCAACCTGGTACTTTCCAGATGGGGTCCAACACATTTATTGCTATGCCACTGCATCCCCCCATCTAAATATAAACTCACACACAAAACTCTTAAAGTCATCAGATTGCATCCAACATTCCCCATACAATTAGATCTGAAAATTGATTGCAATCTTTTTGACTCAAGTGTTTTCTGACATATAAACAGGCTCTACTCTGCTTCCATGCAAGAGAGGAAAGTAAATAGAACCTAGGTGACCATGGTTGCAAGCCTCGTGAAGTGGAAGCCAGCCACAGTAATCCCTAGCATGGACATCAGTTCCCTGAAAATGGACAATAAGAATAAACAACCGAACATTTTCTGTACATCATTACAAAGGTATGCCCTGAAACTAGACTAGGTAGAATTTCGAAGTATTAGGTACATTCTTTTCTACTTGAATGCTAAGATAAGATGTCTAATATTTGCAAAAATCATTAAGTTTAATTTTGTACAGAAGGATGTAACTACCATTACATCTGCAGAAATTCTTTTGTCAAAACATCCTCACCTCTTCCAACAACTCTTTGACACGTTGTGAGTTTCCAGCAATTGCTGCCTCATGTAATGGGGTTTCTCCTTTTTCATTAACATACTTTCGCTTGTATAAAGAAAGAAAAAATTAAATTGAAATTTTATTACTCACTCATTAAAAGCTTTACCTACTGAAAACAAACCTCAAGAAAACCCACATGTGTTGAAATTCTTTTTTTTTCTAACTGGCTTGTTGATTTAAATTTATAATTCCATTACTTGAAAAATACTTATAACAATTTCACATTCATGAAAGAGGCTGGCATCTTGATAAAAGGTTCTTTTATTTTCTTCAGCCACAGGCATTTTTGTAATACCATGATATAATTATATGCCCCAAAAGTGGTTTAGTTCATATTGATAACATATTTATTTTCTCAGTCACCAATGCATTCAAACTATATTCACCTGACTTCTTATCCTTGCTTTTTTTGAACTGTTCCTTGCTCTAGGATCTTCTCCTTCATTGTCATCATCTTCATCTGCATAGAAATATAACACTTAAGACAAAAAAAAAAAACTCAGCCCTTTCCCCCTTTTAATAACAGAGATGCAAACACTGCAGTCTTATATTTGTTCCAACAAGCTCCTTGATGTTAACGAGGTATGACCAGAGGCAGTAAAACAAAGCATAGACTGGTAGTCAATTTGGTTTAGCTCTCAAGAGAGAGAGAAAGATGTAATGAGTAATTTTACATTAATGCCAAACTATCAAACCTACAGATGCATAAAGGGCTACACTTATGGGCTATTTCTACATTATTTGTTAATAGAATATGTTTGACTTAAGATGGTTAAAATTTAAATTGCATATGGCAGAAAATTTTTTTCTCTTGTTTCTTGTAGTTGGATATCTATAGAAAACACTTTGAAGCTTTAAAAGAGCTGGAAAAATGTAAAAAGCATTTTTTTTGGTTTTAAAATATACGCAATTTGCCTTCAAATTTGTCCCGGAGAGTGGGACCTAGTTTATTACCGTTGAAGTTATTCATGACGTCACATTGTGTACCTTTGCCGTGAAGGTCTGTTGTCACTAAGAGGATTCTGCAGTACTTTGTAGTAGATAGATAGTGCATTGAAAGGCAAAGTTGTCCAGTGATTCTAATGATTCCTTTGAGTCTGACTCTTCTGAAAGTTCCCTTGACCTCAAAGAATCTGTGTACACAATGTGACGTCACATGTGATTTTGGCCATGTGATGACCGGGACAAATTTGAAGGCAAATTGCGCCTATTTTGAAAGCGAAAAAAAAAACTGCTTTTTAGACTTTACCAGCACTTTTAAGGCTTCGAAATGTTTTCATATCCAACTACAAGAAAAAAGAGAAACAAATTTTGAGTCATATGCACTTTAACTTACATGTACAATGTTTCCAAAGGCAGAACTCCACAATTGTAGTTTAATGCCAGTACTACTCACCAGATTCTGAGAGCAGTAATTCGTTTTCAATTAAAACTTCTGTGAGATCTTCATCAATGTTATTACTGTCTCTTTCATCATCACTGTCATCGCTAACTACTTCAATATCAAACTGTCTTTCAAGTTCTGTAACTTTAGCAACTGATTTTTGGTACTTTTCTTTGAGATCAAACATCTTTTGTGTATCTGCGAAGCACTTCCACACCCTCAGCTGTAAAACAACATTAACCATGGATAATTAGTGATTCAAAAGCTAGCAGCTTGGATGAACAGATTTTTGTAAAAGGTGTATTTTTCTTGTCTGCATTTACTCTAAAGCTTATGATGAAATAATAATTGTAGCAGAAAGGATAAAAAAAAAACACAGCAACGGAAGAGCCACACTACAGCAAACTGCTCAGGGAATTGTTGTTTTGAAATGTATCAAACCCAGCCAATCGCTGTGGAACATAGTGCCCTAAGAGTAAGGTGTGGCCAGTGAACCTCATTACCTGGTACCTGGGGAAGACCAGCATTATGCACTTCAGATAATGTGATCCAAATTGCAAGTGACTACATCTTGATCAGTCTGACACTAGTGTCTTCACAAAAATCAGCAACCACAACCATTTACAGATCTATAATATAAATGCTGATGTTCTGCAATGTTTCTAGTACCCACTCACTAAGACTATTACATATTCCATTCATAAAAAAAAGTAATAATAATTAAAAATTTTACATCTATAAGTTATCTCCCCAGCAAAGCTCAAGGAAATTTATAACACTTAGTACACAAAGCCTGCTTGTAGGGAACAAATGTTAAACACAATTCATTTTCATTCGTACCACAACTTGAGGTTTTCCAGCTTGTTCTGCATAAGCCAGGGCCTTCATGTAGGCATCTTCAATTTGTTCATAATCATGTCCAGATTTATCATGTACATAAGCAATGTTACACCATGTATCACTCTTCTGCAAATAAGAAAACAATGAAAAGGAAACCTGTAGTACTATAAAAAAACAAAATTTCAACTAAGACCACTTTTTTCAACCATTAGATGGGGGTCAACCATTAGATGGGGGTCACAATAAAAGCCTGCTGCTGGTGACCTACTGCTGTCAGATCATGTTTACTGTAAGTACTCTTGACCAATAAACCAGTCTATATATCTGTTGAGAGCTGGTCCATACTCGACTGATATGTCAGCAGATACTCAGTTGACAGCTGGTTGATACAGCAACCAACTATCAGTTGACTAACATATCAACTGACTATCAACCCAGCATTGACCTACTATGGACCAAGTGTCTACTGAGCATCGATTGAGTGTCGACTGACACATCAGATAAGATCCGACTGACTCTTGACCATGACAGGATAGAAAATGCGTGCACTGTAAGCACCTCTTATTGTGCCATACAAAGCCTTAGTTTTCTAAGGCTTTGTATCGGACAACGGGAGGTACTTACAGTGCATGTGTTTTCTGTCCTGTCATGGATATATTGACCAAATCTCCACTGATATATTAACCCATTGTACTGGTCGAGAGAACCCACAGTAAACATGATCCCTTATAGAATAGCACTGCAAGCTACAACACTTCTAGTTGCCATGGTAATTAGGAAAAAATATTGGAAATTTAATTTACAAAGGTCATGTGGCAAGCTATACCACTTAGTTTTATAACATAAATCATGTAAAGCATGTGATCTGATTGGTCAATTCAGTGTCCACTGTTTGCCCACAGGTGTATGCTAGTGATGTGAACAAACGTTTCCAAGTAATCAAATGTTTACCAAGAATTCTTTTTTATATTAAAAGGTAAATCAAATGTTCAAAACCACATGTCCAGCATACATCCATAAATCATTAGTGTATGCTGTGTTGTTTACCATTTGTTAAAATGCATGTAGGGGTCTCTGGTCAACGGTACAGTAAAAATATTTGAAAAATTTCAGAGAGTAAACTCATACTCTCCAGTTTACCTTTTTAGCATTCCCTGCTTCCAGTGTTTCTAGTTCTTTCATGTAGCAGTCAATGGCATCTTGAGGACATTTGAGGTCATGGTATGTTATTGCAAGGGACACGTAAATAGGTGAAAGATCTGTTTGAGACTTCCCCGCACATTTGGCTAGATCAAGCTGCAGAGTTGAAGTATTTTGTAACTGTTACTTAGCCTTGAGGCCAATAAGTACTATCATGGAACCTCCTAACAATACCATTATGTTACATTTTGAAATCCTTCCATCCTAAAACAAGCCTTGTCATTTTTTTTATCTTCTTTCTCTTCTTCGTTATATAGGGGGCTGCTACAATTACAATTAATAAGTAACATAACAAAAGATGTATTTGTTGTACATGTTACCCCTGAAACAACTGAACAATACAAGTGCTCAGCTTGTTATTTTTAGGCTGATAGTTTCGAAAGAAACTGTTTGGGGCTGCGTCGGTGGGAGTAAGGAAATAATTTGGATATATCAACAAAGTTGAAATGGTAACTTAGCCACCATAATGATTACAAAAGATGATGTTTTGAGCGTTAGCCCTTCATCGGAGCGACGACGAAGGGCTAACACTCGAAACATCAGCTTTTGTAATCATTACGGTGGCTAATTTACCATTTCAACTTTGTTGATATATCCAAATTTTGTTATTTTTAGACCAATGATGGTCTTGCAATACAATGTGTCTACGCTACAAATTGAATGGAAAATTTACCTCCCTCTTGTAGAAACCAAGAGCTTTGTGGAAAGACTTTGCCTGACAGTACAGATCACCAAGGGTGTCCAATATTTTAATTTGTTCATCAAGAGAAAATTCTGAAAGTTTTGCCCATTTCCTCTCAAATCTAATTCCTTTTATAGCTACAACAACAACAAAAAATAATAAGACAAGTGAATGGATAAGAATGTTATGGATTAGTAAGTGCTATATGAGTAAAATGCTACGCTCTGATTTGGCTTTACCTGTGGCTAAACTTGATTTCAATTCCTCTATATCATCAGATCTCTTGGTCTTATTAATAATGTATGCTTTCTTTAAATTACTTCGAGCAGCTGAAAACTCCCCCAGCTTGAGGAAAACCTAACAAATAAATAAACAACAAAAGTACACATCAGTGATAAATTTACAACTGTAAATGATTTGAATCCATGGGTAAAAATTGATCTTGCACTCTAATTATCCGGATAAGGGAGGATCACAAAAATGAGTGATATATGGGTGACAGTGATTGACATTTTGACAACCTCAGCAGCAGTTGTCAACAAAAATCACATTCAGACTTCTTTGCTTATAACAAGCTCAAGTTTGGTTTGTGAAAACTCCTTNGGGACCGTACTGGAAGAATATCGGCCCTCGGTCTTTTTTGTGCTCGGTCCGTACTGTCAAGACCTCGGGCCAATATTCTCCCAGTACGGCTCTCGCGCTTGGTTAATAAGATATATGTAGTTCAGTTTGCCTCCTTTTGTTGATGTCATGAAGAAGTTTTGTGTAGGGTGCCACAGTACTGTTGTTACTGAGCAGTCTTCCAGGTCTGCCTTCAAGCAGGCAATCAGAATACACATTAAATCAAGTTACAGTGCAACTTTATTTGCAGTGGAAGGAGACTTCAGACTTGTTGTAACTGACAGTTGTATATCATGAATGACAAAGTCAAGTCAAAGGGTTTATTTCTTTCTGTTTTATTTAATAGATCATTTATTAACACCCCATTCACACACAAGCTTAAACAATTTTTGAAGTTGTACAATACAATTCAGTGACTACTTGAAACCCATACATGAGCCTGGTGTATCTAAACATGTTTTGCTGGTGTGGATGGGGTATAAAACTACACATGAACACCAGAAACAGTCCATCCACTATTATCTAACTTATCATTTGTCATAATTAGAAATTTCCTGGTCCATTAAGATAATCTCATGGACATGCATCCAGGTGAGGTTTAAGCTTAAAAATAAAATTGAAGTGGTAAATAAAACAGGCTATCTCCTAAACTACCTTTCCCAACAAAGCCAAAGCATCTGCTTCATCAAACTTGTTGTTTCCCTGTCTAGCCACCTGTAGGGCCTGTTCAAGGCATCTTAAGCCATGTGCATCTTCATCAGATTTCATTCGAATACCTCCTATAGTTAGCAGACAGCGGTACTCAGTGTCCCTCAAACCTCTATCTCTGTAAATGTCAGAACATAAAGCCTCAGCAATAGTTAGCAGACAGCGGTACTCAGTGTCCCTCAAACCTCTATCTCTGTAAATGTCAGAACATAAAGCCTCAGCATGGTAAAGTGTAAAAAAAAAAAAAACTACCCAACACATCAACCTACATCCCATCATAGAGGTTTGCTGAACTGCTCCACTCATTCAGGTATTGACTTTACTTGGTGGACTAATGAAAGGCTTACTGGTTGATTATCAACAAGAATATCACAGAGGTTGATAACTCTTCTTTGTTAGTAAATTTGATGGCATTCTGTGGTACTTATGGTGCAGACAGAGCATTTTGTGGTGCCTGTTTTAAGGATGGCAGATGGAAAAAAATAAAGCTTATGGGCTAAGATGGACCTTTCTTTGTGTGTTTCCTGGTAGAAACCACCATAACTAACAAGAGAACCTAAAAGCAAATAATTCCTCAACCAACTGAAAAAGACAAGCAATCCCACTTGCAACAAATGTCAAGTGAAAGTGAATGATTTGATAACTTAATTGCAGCATAGGCTGAATTGCTAAGGTCCACAGTGTTACCAAGGTTGAGATCGGACGTCAGCATTATCAGGCGCCTCTGGCAGCCACTTTTAGTCGATGTAACGACCTCACCTTTCCCCCCACACATCCCACTCCAGGGGAGGACATCTATCACACAGTAATCTCGTGCCTGGGAAATGAACGTCTCCTACCCCTAACCCGGCAAGAGATGGGACCTCCATTCATTCATCCTTATCCGAGAAGACTAGAAGATCTATCCATTTCATTGATATTATAGAAAGGTAGCAAATTCTCCTCAGTTATTTTAAGACCATGAGTATTGGTCCGGCCGGGGCTCGAACCCTCGACCTCCCGCACAACACGAACCAGCGCTCTAAGCAATTGAGCTAACAAGGAGGTGGTCAACACCCACCCAGACAACAGCTGGGGGTGACATGGCTAATTAGATTATTCCTGGGGAATATGAACAGGAAATGAGATCTTAATTTGAAAAATAAAGTTTTGTTCTCAAATTTGCAATTTTTTCATACTTTTGATGTAATAGTCATCACACTACTTCTTGAATGAAATATTCTCATTATTTGATATTTTAATTCTAATATTTTAAAACTCATGTTACACTTGTATACCATTAGCCTACTGGTATGAAAGCTCAAGGCTGAGTTGTGGGATTTATCAGCCAAGGGGTTGGCATTCTACCTGAGGAGGGGGGGAGGGACTGGTAACTAGGTAAACACAGCTGGAAGCCCCTACCAGCCACCTTCAGTTTGCGCTAAGTGGCAGTTTATCTCATGGTGTGGCCTCCTTATGCTCATACATTGCAATGTTATCGTAGTTTACAATATTTATGTAACTAATCAATTATAAATTGTACAGAGGGAAATTACCTAGCAATGATCAAAGCCTTTTCAACAAAACTCTTGGCTCTGCTCAGATCCTTCTGGTTTTCATAAATCAGACCAAGATTCAGATACAATCTTGACTTCATCTCTAACAATTCCTTTTGGGAAACACTTCTGTGTAATTTGTCACAGACATCCAGACTTTTCAGGAATGCAGTCTGTGCCTCAAGAAGAAATCCTTCCACCTCATCACTGTTGATTGCATCATCTGAATGGACAAGCCACGTGCGCCCAATGGTTGCTAAGGCCCGCTGTTCTTCAACAAGATTTTTCGCTGACCGAGCGAGCTTTTGTGTTAAAAAAGAATAGAAAGGAGATTTTAGTAGTGGATCTCTTGCACCTAAAGCATGTTTACCTGAGAAAATATGGTGACTGGCCATCACACCAAAGAGATTTGGTTATCAAGTGATGCCATGTTATTGGCAACAATCTGTTACTAACAGTTACCTCAAGATGCAAGTTTTGGTGAAACAGTGCGTCTTTGTATTTCTTGAGTTCACACAGACACTCTCCTACTTTTCTGTGAGCAATAGCAGCTCCAATAGTATCTTGACTTGCTTCAGATAACTGCACTTCCTTTGTGTGTTCTTTAACAGCCTTTTCATAGTATCCTAAGTAAGTTGAATGACACAACTTTATTTCACATGATATGCAATACGGTACCTTGCTTATCTCAGTTATCTGAGATAAGCAAGTTCTCTAGCTACCATCCTCAATTCTTGCTATCTTTTATCCATCATTATTACCCTCCTACACCTAAAATTTCTGTATCAGTTCTCTCTTTCGTCTGCCATACATTTCCTAATCATATTAACAATGAGAATTTGGCATTAAATCAATTATTATCATTATTATTCATTTGCCACTTACACACACACATAAATTACAAAAATAAATTACAGTTGTTTACAGCAGTCTAAAATAATAACTATAATAATATAATTACACAACAATCTACACTTAAACTAGATAAAATTACAATTTAGGGTCATTTATAACTAATGTGATAAGAAAGCCCAGCAGAAGCTAGAAGCTAGAAGCTTATCAAACCTGGGTTCCTGGCATGATGTAGACGATAAATTTGCTAACTACAGATAGGAGAGTTTAATTTAGTTTTCTGTCTATGAGGAATTTTTTAAGTGAAGTCTTAAAGATGGAGAATCTGTGGAATAGGATAAGATCACAAGGTAGAGAATTCCAAACCTTGGGACCTTGGTGCAAGATCGTAAACTGCTTGATATTAGTTCTGCAATAATGTGGACGATAATTGCTAGTGTTTCGTGTATTGTACTTATGAATTTGACAATGACTAGGAAAAAGAGTATCAAAAGCATTTGGAAGGAGGTTACTATGATAGGAATACATAAAACAAGCTACAAGGAAACCATTAATGTTATAAATATCAAGGATATTAAAATTGTAGAACAAGAGTGCAGTATGACCTAGGTATTTAGTTCCACTTATAATTCTGACCATAAGTTTCAGCAGGAGGAAAATCCTGTTTAAATTAGAAGGGTTGAGGACCATGCGATATTATAATGGCTGAGATAAGGATACACTAGAGTATGGTCTAAGGTTAGAAACGACTTTCAAGAAAGAAAGAAACAAGATTCACTTAGTATTCCAATAGTTTTCAATATCACATACATAATATCCTTCTTTATTATCCAACTACACTTCGTAGAGTACAAATAATGCCATAGATGAGTACAAATATCATGCAGTATTTGTACTCTAGAGTACCAGTTAAACAGGTTTTCTCGCATCGTGCAAGCGAAGAATTGAATTGTACTTACGAAAAAAAAAAGGTGGACAATTTGAATCATATTTCTGACGACGAAGAGTCGGAATGGCTAGCGAATATAGATCCAAGTTTATTAGATGAATCGAATAAAGAAAAACAGTCAGACGACCAGGAAATTTCTTCATTTATTGAAGAAAATAGAAACAGCAACATGACAATGCGCCAATTCCATTCTGCTTCGCATACTTCTGTCACGCACTCCCTGTAAATAACTATTCGCGAAATTCGCCCACACTGAAATAACAGTTTGGTGTTTTTATTAGACATTTTGTTCAGTAGTATTGCTGAGTATTTTCACTTGCTATTTGTATTTTGACTCGCACTACCGGCTTGTCAAAATACAGCACAACTTATAAAAATACTCAGCAATACTACACAACAAAATGTCTAATAAGATATTTTATTCTTACAATCTTTGTACTAAAAAAATGCATCAATATTGTTATGAGAAATTACTTTCTGGTCACTTGTAGGAGTTAATGGTTAAGAATATTCTTCTGCTACATTTTTCTGAATAGAAACTGTGGAAAGATTACAGTAGTTCTGTAGTAAATATGCAATTTTGTACGCTAGATACCTATGTACTTTTGTCTATGATGGAATAAAGACTTTATTATTACTAAATAGGAAATAATGTGTAGAATAATCTGACTGACAGCCCGACAAAGGCTGAGTGTTTCAGTCCAAGAAAATAAATTATATTCCAGTCAAATTCTTCAACACAAATCTTGAGAACCTGGAATCAACATTTTTGCCTCTAAGTAGAAAATACTTCACCCTATGGAAGGTAAGATTTCTGCACTGTCCCATCCTATTGCAATCTACTTTTTTCGCCGATGCTTTCTTTATCCAAGAACTGTATGCATAGTGGATTATGGGGCTGTGCGAAAATCTTACCCTGATTAAATAGCTGATGTAGGTATTCAATAACCTTTACCTCGTTTCATCACATTCGTTCTAGTAACAAGATCCCACAATACGTAATCAAGTGTTCTCACCATAATGAAAAAGTATTTCTCCAACAGCATTGCAGAGCTTGGCCTCCTCAGCAAGGTCACCTTTTTCCTGAGCTTTAAGTTTTCTCTTCTTGAGCTCTGAAAAAAAGGAAATGACAAAAAAGTCACGAACAGATCAAAACCTGCAATCTTGCATCTCATCGATCTGTCTACATGTGGACTTTAACTTAGATCTGACGATATAGCAAAGACGCCAATGAAATTAGGTTTTCATATCTTTGAGTTGTTTGGCGATTGTTTGGCTTAAAAAGCAAGGAAGAATTAAGAACACACGTTTGAGCTCTCTTTCAAGGTTTACTTCCATCTTCAGTGATCAGTAGTGTTCATCTTATTTCGATATTTTTGGGAAAAGGACAATTTCAGAAACTTCTAATGGTGTCTTCAAAAATGGCGGGTTTTGCACTTAGTCTCAAAATGGTACTCAGTCCAACGCTGAACAAGCCTCGCTTTGATTTGGGAGCGTCTGAAATTCCCACAATTCTTTTATGCTCCACTGCACGACGTTTATTGTTGACGAAAATCGGGGGGTCTCTGACGATGTATGCGGTGTCTTCACTTTTGTGTTTATTTTCAATGTCACTACAGGAATCAATTAGATTTTAGCTCCAGAGTGAAGTACAACTTAGTCAATTCTACGATTGTTTTGTTCCGAGCGCCTATAATTGCCAGGAGCGGGTGTTTGTTTTGTCCTCTTCGAATTTTGCTCGCGGACTTATATCAAAATGGCGTCCGTTTTTCGAAAACTGGTTAGACGTGAATCACGCAATGGAGAGGGTAGCGACAAGAATGGGTGTAAATCAAAGGGAAACTCAGACCTTAAGAACGAAAGAAAGGATGGGGAATTTAGCAATCTAACTCAAGAGAGCAATACAGAAACAAGACACCTGAATTCTTTGCCGGCGAAAACCACAGGGAGTAATGGTGTGAAAACAAATGATGTAAATGAAATGTCTTCCTCTCATGCTCAAAGGGTCCGAGCAAAGCGACTCATGAAAGAATTTCACGATGTAACTGTGCGTTGTGACAACAAATTGTTTTCAGCAGAACTAGTGGAAGATAATCTTTACGAATGGAATGTGAAATTATACAAAATCGACACAGATAGTTTGCTTTATAGGGATATGGTTGAAACCGGAACCAAGTTCATTCTATTGAATATTACATTTCCCGATAATTTTCCCTTCGCGCCTCCGTTCATGCGAGTTTCTGCACCGCGAATCGAAGGAGGCTTCGTTTTAGATGGTGGGGCGATCTGTATGGAGTTATTAACTCCCAAAGGATGGAGCAGTGCATACACAGTAGAGGCAATAGTGTTGCAGTTCTCTGCTGCCGTTGTGAAAGGTCAAGGACGCATCGACCGATCAACTAAAAAGGCATTCTCTAAGAAAGAGGCAGAATCTGCCTATAAACGATTAGTGAAGACGCATGAGAAATATGGCTGGGTAACACCACCGAAATCAGAAGGTTAGAGGTGTTAGAAATTTTGTGGTCAATCCAGAGGCGGTATCTCTAATGGATCCTACTGAATCAAGAACGGCTTATTTTCAATTCACAAAATTTCTCTCTAAATCGCTGTTGTTGTTTGCTGGTCAGTAACATACATTCTACATCAGGCTGATTTTAAATGAAGTTTGTGCTCATTGAATCACTCAGAATTAAATAATTGTCAATTGGATGAGGTTTTCTAGTGATTCATAAATTCCTTTATTTTTAACGAACAACTCATGACTGAATGGTGAATGCTGAAAAACAGAAAAATCATGTCTCATTTACACATTTTGAACCAACTCACGCCTCATGGCACACCACATTTTCAAGTTGGGTTACAAGGAGATTTTTTTGATGAATTCTATGTAGAGGAAGTGGATCAATTGGGAATTCAGTGGTGGAAAAGGCATTGAACAAAAGTTTCATTTACTGTAAGCCTTTTGTTTCTCTAAAAGTGCAACCTTTTAATGTGTGCTCAATTAAAAACAGAATGTAAAAAGTTATACCCAAGTAAAGTTCTAACAATGAATAGGCAAAATTTTCTGGTCATAAAGCAACCAGCCATTAATATGTAAATATACCATGGCATTTCAGTGACAGTTCATTTTCTTCCATTTTGTTGAATCCGTATTGCGGTTCACATAGCACTGTTATTTTTCTCTTCGTATTAGGAGAATGTGTTGTGTTTTGTGAAATCCCTTGAAAATTAAACTGATGTTAAATTAGACAAAATATGAACTGGCAAGCTATTAAAAATAATAAATGCATTTGGCTTTCATTGTGGTATGGATAAGTTATTACAAACATTAAATTGCCACCTGCACCAAAGAATACAATGGCTTTATGTACTGCTTTTTTTATATCATCAAGTAGAAATAACACAAACTTGACTAGATCTGGAAATATAAATCACTGCAGAAACTATTTCAAGTAACAAAATCAATGCTCAGAATCATAAACCACATGACACTGTCAAATCAGGTGATGTAAGTTACATTGAGAGTGTTTTATTGTAGTCAGATGTGTTAATGGATGTAATTACCATGTTTCATTCTGTTAAGCCAGGGCATGAATTAGGAGAATGATAAGTATTGTTAATTATTAGGTATGAGTGCTTTGGAAAGTCTTTGTAATTCAAATTTCTTTCTACTGGAAAAGCTCTTATAAGCAATTCAATTTATGTTTTTTTTTTTCACATAGATTACATATGGTTACTGTTAATGGGTGGTTTGGGAAATGCCCACTGGGAATAGAGTAAACACATTTTATTGACAATTAAATATTAAACAAAATTCTAATTCCTTGTTCAGGAAATCATTTCTTTTGCAACCTTAAAAATCTATCCAAATATTTTCAAGTTTGCCATTGGAAATTCTTGTTTAGTGAAGTATACCATCTATACCCATACTCATTCATTTTTTTTGTCTTCTTACCTTTCTGGAAATTTCTTTCTTATAAAACTATTATTTTAAGGAGTGTCATTCATTAAAGGTAATGTTTTATGGCTTTGTAGCATGAAAATTTTAAGGGTGTCCTTGTTCTGCTGAAAACTTGTTCTCAAAAATTGAAATACTTTGAAATTTATGAGAACAAGTCAAATGAAAAACTTCACTTACAAACAAAGTGTCACTCTATTCTTCATAGCAGAACTTTACAAACTATCTGTTCATGAATCCACTATAAATATGTAGTTTCCCTATGAACAACTTGACAAGTTTGAAAATATGAACATATAATATTTCTTTCCATGGAATCTACTGCCTGGATTTAAAATCACAAACATAAGTTCCTAGCTGAAATTTCAGTTTTCTTGAAGCACAAAAATTTGTGGCTACAAAGGACTAAAATGTCACCAAGCTGCAAAATTAATTTCACCTCAATTTCATGCTACTTGGTTCACATAATAGACTCTAAATTCAAACTTCATTGAGATATTTCCTTTAAAGTTTGCTTCTCATTCTTGTGTCATTTTATTGCTTGATTCTAGTTATGGTCAACATTAACTGTATAGTTTTGATGCCAAAAAAACTCACCCAAACAAAAATGACCTGTGAGTCATTTGTATATAATTTCTTTTTATTATAGTCAATAGACGTTGAACTGCAATTATTATGATTAGAACAAATTTTCTGTTTATTTTCCTGTCAGACTCTTGGGAACCAAATAAAGGAATTTATTTTAAAGTCACTGTAATTCCCTATTTAATGCGCTAAATGTTTTCCATTATTACTAAACAAACTGTGATAATCCCAGAGGGACCTTTTTCTCAACTTGTTATTCAACAATCTTGTCCTCTATTTCTTCTTCATAATGTCATATGCAACACAGGTACGAAGATAAAATTGATCCTGTACAGATCAAATTTACTGAGATAAAATTAATCCTGTATGGATCAAATTTACCGACAGCTGCATTAACTAATGTAGTATTGGGAATGACAGATTGGACAGCTTCAAAATGGGCTGGAAGTGGCTAACATTCATTTTGAAAAGAACATACTAAAACTGATTGAACGTTGTGAATATGATTATTTGTTAATCAGCCTGTGCTAGGCTTTCAGTAATTAAAAACAAGGGGAAAGTGGAAACCTGGAAACAGGCAGCTGTTTCCCTGACTACTGAGACTGCTGTGTGGTCCCTGTACTTTCTCTCTCTCTCTCCCTCTCTCTCTGTTATCCATCTCAAACATTTTATTAGTAAGTAAAATGTGTTGACCTTTGGAATTATATGGAACTTGTAGCATTTATGGAGTAGTAATTACCAGGGTACCTAGCTTTTGACTGGCCCCTCTCTTTCCATACTTCCCGATGCCTCGAATGTGAGATTTGTGTAGCTAACTTCGGCGTAGTCTTCTTTTCCTTGGTTAGTTTTGAGCAAATCATTGGTTTGTCGTGTATTCTTCCCTTCCTGGTTACTAGAAACGTCACTGAATGAAGTGCATGTCTCTTCATCACCACTTAGTCTATCAATTCTTTGGGGGAATTGCAGATACCGTTCTGGATCTGTGCCCCTTCTTTGGCAAAAGAACACACTGCTCTGTGAAATCTTCGGTGGAAGTTTGATCAAAATTTTAACGTAACTTTCTATGTCCGATCTTCGTTCTTCTGCAGGAGCTAAGTCATTTTTCCTCAAGATTTTTCTCCCTAAAAGTAAAAAAATAGGTCCATCTCAATTAAAATGCTCCCACACGTCCAACTTCTTGGTAGTAACCCTTCGCGACAATATGTCACGGAAATGTGCCCATTGAATCATTTCTAAATTTAACATTTATCACTGTACCATAGAGTATTTCCACACACGCGAGCTCTAGTTACATTATAGACATTATAATGTGAAAGGAAATAATTTACATTAAAATATTATCAATTTCCCTCATCAGTGGCTAATTTTAGAGATTTCGTACACCTAGTTAGCGTCACGTGAAAACATGTCCGTGTCCTCTCGGAACTGTTTGGGTTTATCCGAACTAAAAATAATCGGGTGTGTTACCTGAGGGTCAACAGCTATTCCAAACCAATGGTCACGGCTGTCGAGTCATCATGTCAGTGGCTATCATGTGGTCGGAAATAATGTGATACATGCTATCAAAATTTGTTGCCTCATAAGACGCCTGTATGTAAAAACGTATAGATAAACCAAACAACAAATTGTGACCCCTTTTGGCTGCTCACTTGCCTTATGTTATAGCCACACCTGGGAGGTAGGGAATAATCCTTGCAAATCCTCTAACTGAGCCGGCTTCCGCAGGAAAAGAATCCAATAACCTGCATTGAAACTCAAAGAAATAATTGTAGCTCCGCCAGATGTTACAACTCGAGCCGCCGGACCACTCCACTTTCAAAACAAACGCGTATTGTTTCTTTTTACTTCCATTCAAGCGTTCTCTGATTGAGTTGAGTTCTGCTCCAGCGACATATATCTTAGCGGCTTTACTACCGTTTTTTTCGTTCAAAAAGTCTGCAGTAACAGGATGTAACTTCTTCTCTCGGCTAACTGATCTTTGAAAATCTTTGAGAACATGATTCTGGATTTTTTAAGTCACGCAAGTACTGTAACGCAAGCATGATTACGTTTGATGAGATAGGAGCTTCCGGTTAAACCTTGGGAAGGAAGTCACCGTTTTGTGTCGTTTCTTGTTTGTTTGCTTTTGTTTTTGATAACCCTATATGTGATTATTATGACGGTTTCTCTTTCCTAGAAAATAGGAAATGCAGCAGACAGATTCCGGTTTAGAAAAACACGAGGTTTTTGGGGGGTTTACAGATATTCTATTGAAGTATTTTTGAGAACACACCAATTAGAGAGTGTTTCGCCAAAATTGTCCCATAAATAGGTTTCTAAAATATGGAAATGAAAAGTATAAGGAGTAAGTGAAAGTAAAAACTCTGTGAGTCAAAGAAAGATCTTACCTGAGAGATGGATGGTGACAATTCTAAACATCGCCCGTAAAATCACTTGTGTAATTTCAGTTGTTTCCTTGAACATTTTTCGCTTAAAGTAGAAGTAAGCTTTATTACCCACTGTGAGGGTTAGACATCATAGAAATCTGACGGGCATAGAAACATCTCGAAAATTTAGTAACCTAACAGGAAATTACAAAAAAACCGGAAGTAGCTAGAAAGGTAATTGTGAATCGCCTTCATCCTCTCTCCTTATATGGCAGGTGGAATACATTATGATGGCTCGCCTCTAAACCAAACACAAGATTTGCATAAACTTTCCAGACAACACACTTCTTCTGAAAGGTCGCAAAAATTCTCGGACGGATTTGGCCGAAACGGTGGAGATCAATGGCGCAAATGTTACTGTAACAAACGCGGTGATTTTACGCGTGGTGTCAATTTCGGTGTTGTCACACGCGCTTTGTAATGGCGGATCATTTAGAACTTGTGAGTGAAATTCCGAAGGTCGAGAAACTTTCCGTGCAAGATCGCCTAGAACTCGCAAAGAAGCGACGATCTCAACAACTGAGACGATGGGAAAGAGAGAAAGATAAAGAATATGGTCCACCACCACCTAAAAAGAAACCTCAACGAGCAAGACCAGTGAAATTCGAAGCTAGAATTATCCTTTTGGAAGCCGCTTCTCGAGGCGATTGCGATGAAGGTTGGTACAGCCTAGCTTTTGCACCCTGAAGTTTTGTTTGTCGATCGTAGTTATGTCTTCAGATTCTCCTTATATAGTGAAATTTTAAATTATTGATGTTTCTTATCCAGTGAAAAGGATGCTTGATTATGGAGTTGACCCAAACTTAGCTAACGACGACGGACTAACTGCGTTACATCAAGTAAGAGTTTATGAAGTTCCATGCACGATCTATCATTATGAATATGCGGCTCTAATAACGTAAAGATCTTGTTTAGAAGCTTTGGAACTTGATTGGGTGCAATATTTGACAACTAATCTTCAAACTGTGTTTGTGTTTATTTTTGTTCGCTATCAGAAAATTGATGTTTGTTTTACAATTGAGCCAAATCGTGTTGGAACATAACATTCACTAGAAATTAATTTTCCTCGTATATATTGATGAGTTAGAGTTTCTCTGTTTTCTTTTGTACAATATATTGTCTCGCTATCTAGTGTACACTTTTGTAATGTAAGACATGAATTGATGAATTTATTTGGACGTTTTTGATAAATATGACACACATTGGAGATGGCATGAAATTGATTGACCTAGGCGAAGCAAAAAGCACTTTATTTCTTTCAAAACAAGATCAAATCATTTTTAGTCGGGGTTTCCGGTTGGTGGCTCGTAGGATTAACCTAATTTTAATTTCTGATTACATTACGACGACTTTTAGAAGTATGATTCAGATTAAATTTGAATATTTGGCTGATTGACGTAAAAAGTAATTACGACAAATTACTGAGCCGTGGCTTTTTCGTTTATTCAGATTTTTTTTATCTCAGTTTTCAATATTACTGTACTTTGAGAGCCTAACCTCTGTCTTGGTGGAAATTTCAAGGCAGCTTTCTTAGTATCAGTGCTTTTTTTCTGTAACAAAGAATTATTTCGCTTAGATTTCTAACTATGAAGCCATTTTGTGTCTATGCTCAGCTGGAATTTCATTGTTTAATTTGTTTGCTGATTAGGGTGATCTAGAGGTGTTTACACGAGACAGTGCAATTTTAAAAAATTCTTCTTTCAATGTTGACCAGACGTCGACTAGATAAGAACTCTTGATATTTTTGGGCAATAATAAACCCAAGAGATATGACCTCTGACTCAAGGTTTCTTGCATCTTGTAGCTTAAATTGGCTTTTTTTATGTCAATCATAGCTTGCGTTATAGTGTTACCAAAGAAATTTTTCTTGCCTTGCTCAGAGAAATTCGCCTCATAACTGTATTTGGTTCAACTGGCTAGGTGGTGTCTCCAGTATTCTACATATGTGCTTATCAAAGACAGTGGCGATAATTAACTATCAAAAGCACCAAGTAAATGTAATATGTGTACCTTAAGATTTTTTGTGTCATACAGGAGGTAGGAAAGTGACAGTTGATGTTTGTTTTGTAGAATTTATGTCTCAACCCTCCAGCTCTTTAGAAAATAAAAATGATTTTGACAAAATGCAATTAATGTTTTCTTGTTTTGAATTACAAGTACTTGATTGACTGGCCATTAATTCATTGTCGGACAAAATATGTGTTTTTACCAAGTTACTTGATTTGAAAACAAAAACTAATAGGAAGTCCATAAAATAAATCATTGTCCATATTGTGATGAATTTTTTTTTTGTACAATTTTACAAGGCTTGCATTGATGAGTGTGATGAGATAGCAGAACTTCTTGTGGGTTATGGTGCCAATATTGATGCAGAAGACCGTGAATTGTGGACACCTTTACATGCTTCAGCAGCATGTGAAAACTATTCGATGGTCCAGTATTTAGTTGAAAATGGTGCTGATGTTGTTTCTATCAATGCTGATGGAAACTTGCCTGTTGATTTGGTTGAAGAAGATGATGACTTGAAGAAGTTCTTACATGAAGAGATGAACAAATATGGTGAGCTATTTTTATCATGAACTAAATCAAAAACATGCATCAGCCCGTTAGTCTTTACAAAACATACTGAGAACATTTGACTGACAAACTATTCAGATTTACCAAAAAAATATTTCTTAAAATGACAAGTCTCAATATTAGAAAATTTTTGGTCCAAAGACTAGATAGCAAAAATGGTCTGACAGCTGGCCATATCCCTCTGCCTACTAATCATCAAATGATAACCTGAAGTAACAAATTTAGGGTTAGTGTTCACATGACTCTACCACAAGTTTAACAGCATGATACACTTATCAAAATTTCAGGATTTAATGAAGATAAGATCAATGAACTTGCTCTCTTAAGAGAGAAACGGATGCTTGAAGATATTAAAGATGCAATTGAAAAGAAAAGAGACCTGGAAATCAAGGATATGCAAGGCGCAACAGCTGTAGGTTTCGTACATTGGTTATTTAAATTCTCAGTGAAATAAGCATATTTCCTGTTGAGATTAAACTTCGGTTACAAAACTTGACAATGTCTTCCTCTGTTAAAAACATTTTTTTCATGTAAATTAGTTACAAGAGTTTGGTGTGTAATTAAGAGAACAACTTCTACCTGATAAGCTTGAGTATTCTCATTACCTGTTTGCTGGATAATGTATGGATATTGTAGGGAGAAGTAACAGCATAATCACTTTTGGGAGTTTAAGATAACTGCCCTTTATCAAACTACCCTCGCTGGGACCATCACCTGGACTGGTTGAACTCTTAAGCTCAAACGATTCACTTTGACATGCATAACTGTTCTTACCCATACTAGTTATAATTTTATTATCAAATGTCATGACAGTATGATGATTATAATTCATTTTACTTGCAGCTACATGTTGCAGCAGCTAATGCCTATGAAGAAGTGTTAGAATTCTTACTTGAGAACGATGCAGATGTAGATGTCGTGGACAGGGATGGGTGGAAACCTATTCATGCTGCAGCCTGCTGGGGAAATGTAAATATTTTGGTTTCATCTTGTGAGACACATGAGTTGAAAGCAATTTGTTCTCATCAGTTAACAACTGACTCATGTTTGAGCTCGGGCTCATTGAGATTTGGAGCGTGTGAGAAGCTGGAGAGCACCAAAGATGCTTAAGAGTTGGCTGAGGTGTAGTCGAGAGAAATTCTTACTTCTAGTGAATCCTCTCAAACTTCCTCATATCTTAATGAAAATGCAGTTGATGATGTGTGAACCAATTGTTTGCTATTTTTTCAAAAGGGCTGTTTCAGGGTTGTTGCTTAATGGTTGCCGTTGGGAAAATTTACTAAATGAAAAAGTGGTGATTGTCAGTTGCATTTTTGGCTGACAATGGTTTGGTAAAGCACAACAGGTTCTTTTCATGGTATGCACTTACAATCATATGTATTTTGAATGCTATCTTTGAGTCACCTCACTTGAAATTTCAGCCAGTAGCCCAATTTCTTAGTTGCAACCCTGCAGTTGTACAAAGAGAAATTTCCTCTGTTGTGCTCAACACACAAAGGTTACTATCAAATTTCTGCTTTTGTCCTCTATCTTTAGGAAAAAGCAATTGAACTACTCGTAGAGCATGGATCTGATCTAGAAAGCAAGACACCTCATGGGGAAACTCCATTAGGTTAGCAACATACTGGTTGTAATTTTGCCATTTTTTCATTCTTTGTTTGTTAATAGTCTAATTGGCAATCTATTCTCTGACACATTAGATCTATGTGATGATGCTGACATGCGGCAGTTCATCATTGATCTTAAGGGCAAAATGAAGACAAACAAGTTTAAAGTGAAAAATAAGAGGAGAAAAAGAAACAACTCAAGATCGTAAGTCATGTACAGGATAGGGTGTTTCTTCTCATTACCAAACACTCAGCAAGAAGCTGAAACTATGCAGTTACAGGGGTTTCATTAAGGGCCGGGCACTGGCCAAATTGACCGGTTGTAAGGACGGTTTTGCCCACCTGGTTTAACAATCTGGAGGAAGGTTTATCTTATAAAGAAGTTTAGTTCAAAAAGTTTTGCCCGCCTGTGAAAACCAGTTGCCCTCCTACTGAAAAAATTAATGAAACCCCTGCAGTTATATTGAGCACAAGTAGTGACATTGTTATGTACTATTTTACATGAGTTTTTGGGTGGGAACAAATGCATGTTAACCCTTAAACTCCCAAGATCTGATTGTTAATTCTCCCCTCTAGCTGTCACACTTTTCCTATTAAATTGGTTATGAGAATTTGGTGTTCAATCAAGATAAAAACTTCTACCTTAATAAGTTTGAGTATTCTCATTACCTGTTTACTGAACAATGTATGGATATTATAGGGAGAAGTTGCATGTTAATCACTTCAAGGAGTTGAAGGGTTAATTATATTTCAAAATCATTTCTTTCTTATGAAATTGATATTCATTCATTGTTAAATTAAATAATACTTTTCCTGATTTTGTAGGTTGTCTGTCAAACGATCCAGTCTCAAAGAAAAAATTTCCATTTCTCAGAATGAAGCCAAGGCAGAAGCAATTCTTCGACAACATCCTGAACTGGCCTTCCTCATTGCGGTAATTCAGCTCAGTTTATTCAAAAGAAATATGAGAAATAAAATTAGAGTGGAGTCAAGGTTATATGATAGTTTGGGCTGATTGTGCCTCTGAGAATTATAGGAAATTTCAACAGGGAGATGGAGTGAAATAGTTGGTTTGATCAATTCAGTTGATAAAACTAAAATTATCTTGTTAATAACCTCACCATTGCAGTACCACAGTATCTTTAGAAATTATTTTACCCCCTTTAGATTGAATGAAAACCACCTACCTAGTATGAATCTTTTAATCTCTGAGAGTGACTACCAATTATTCCACTTGCATGCATTGGCCTTTGTGGCCAAGTGGGCTATAACTGTCTCATATCCAACAAGTGCAAGTGGAATAATTGTTAATTTATTAAACACCCAAAAATATTGATAAATCTTCCCAGTTTTAGTTTGGAAGAACTAGCCAAATGTTACAATGAACAAAACCATTTTTGGTTTAACTTGTCTTCATGCACACAAATGGTATAATTGTTCTTAACCCATGATGGCTAAGCCTATGAAAAATCTTGAAATGCATTATCCAATAATCCAATTTTAAATAACAGTTGTCACAATTACAGTATTATGGATAAATCAAACATTGATTTAAAGTCATGCAAACAAAGGGAAGATCAAGCTAAGAAGAAATTGATTAATAAACAAAGCGTCTTTGCCAGTACCATGGAAAATGTATTGAGAACACTGCCATGAAGTCAGGCGCGTAGTGTGGTCATTATTTCAAGTACGCACAAGTACATATGATCTAGAAACCTAAGTAAACTGAGCGAAAAATACTGCATTCTTTATTTCTTGTTCGAAATAGTTTGTATGAATACAAGCAAAGAACAAAGTTAGAACATGGTATAGCTTTTGTTTTTAGAATTTAATCAAAGTGGTGTTTTCATCACGAAATCTTTGTTGCGTACAAGTAAAATGTTAAAAATAGAAACAATTGCTAAAAATTTCAAAATTTTCTGGTTACCTCGAGTACCCATGTGCGTATATTAGTATAGGACGCTACGCGCCTGGAAGTTTGATGTTTGTGTGAGTTTGTATAGTATTAAATATATTAATCAGTAGTTTCACTAGCAACCTTTGTGGCTTCCCTTGGTGTTGATGTATGGGATCCCATGAAAGTGGGTTCCCACTCCACTGATGAGCAATCACGTGATCAGTGGGTAAAAAAGGAACAAAGCGTATGCAAGGGTGGGGATGAGTGTGTAAAATGAACATAAAAGTTAGGTGTTAAAATTGAGGGAGCGACTTCTGTAACAACAGCATGCTCCTAAACTCAATTTTAAATTGTAAAAAATATATGTTATATGTTATATGTTATTAAAATAAAAAATAGAATCAAAATCAAATAAAATCAAAATCAAATGAAGTTAAAATATTATATAAGAGTAACTATTAGAAAGAGGGGGCAAAGCATTTAGGGTTTAGGGTTAAATTGCTAATGTCATATTAGAGTTTTGGTTATAGTTAGGGTTAGAGTTATATTAGGGTTAGTATTAGTTAGGGTTAGGGTTAGGTTAGGGTTAGTGCTAGATTAGGGTTAAGTTTAGTGACATTACTGCTCAGTGACAAATGTGGTCTTTTTTTTAATCAGAAGGACAAGAAGACAGATTATGGATCAAATCAATTGAACATGAGTATAGAAGATACCACTCTACCTAAAAAAGAATCTCCTTCACCAGCAAGACCAGAGGTTGACGAGAGAAGTGCTGGTACTTATGGGAAAGAGGTCACTGAAAATTCAACAACAGTGAAATACAAAAGAACTTCAGAAGTGAAAGAGACAGTTGTGACAAATACTATCAATGTGAAAGTTGTAGAACAAGGAAATAATGAAAAGGGGAACAAAACTCTATCTAGCACAGAGAATCACATTGAACATCTCAAAAGTGAAAGATCTAGAGAACTTCTTCCAAAAGGGAGAGAGGCAACTGTGCCAGGACAGGGCACTGATACAACAAAGATTCAACACAATAGCCAAAATGATTCAAAAGAGCATGTATTACAAGATAAAACAAACTCCAGGCCCTCAGAGAAAATAGCAGTTCCTTCACAGCCACCTTCAGGTCGCCGTCAACTTCCGGTGGATCCAAGAATACAACAAGCTACAAAAGAGAATAACATGGTAAACATTAATCACACTAGTCAGGGAGTTGTTGCATCCAAGGTCGAAAGGACTCCTGCAAGCAAAACTTCATCAGAGCTTAGTGCCAACTCTAATTCAACAGCACAGACTGTCACATCTATGCCTAAATCCACAAAGACAAGAGCTGCTCCTCCAGTACCAAGATCATCTGGAAGTACAGGCAGTAGGACCCAGGTGCCATTTTCTGATACATCAGGCTACCGAGATTCATTTTCCAAAAGGAAGTCAAGAGATTCTCGGGAAATTTCAGATACTGCTTTGCAACAGTTAGGTAGGTTGATATATGTTCTCAGCTTTCAGAAAAGTGATGCTTATTTGTCTAGTTATCCTGTCTTATTCATGTATGCCTAAATACCATCAAAAGTGACAAAACTATCAAGGCTACCACTCCTAGCCCATGATTCTTAATGTGGATGAGATGCTAATGCAGTTTAAAGTTCCAGTGAATATACATGTCTAGTTGGTATTATTTGAATTTGTAAAACTTTTGTGTTCATTTGTTTGTTCAGCAAAGGATATCAAGGAGTCAAAAGTAATTTCACCATCAGATGTCAGACTGTCTTCTGATGCTAAAAATGCCAAGTACACACCCAATCCACGGATACCTCAACTGCAACAGCAGAATGATACTCCAGCAACACTGCATGTCTCTTCTGAAACAGTTCCCATGAGTAATATAATTGACACAAACAATGTAACTAATAACAGCGTAGAAGAACCCAGGCGTAAATTCAAACAACCTGCTGGTGCTCCAGAAGTGGGAGATCATAAAAAGTCTTGTTGTGTTATCATTTAAGCACTCCAAGATGGCAATGAAGCATTGCAACACAACAATTACTTAAAATTGTGTTCTTGTGACAACTTCTTGGCTGCCAATTGAAAGTATCTTAGGCAGTCATTATGGGCCTCACAGCTTTGATGCTCTAAGATGTTAGATAAATTTTTCAGAGATTGCCAGGAAAACAAGTTAGAGGTTTTCGGTTTTTTTTTGGAGTTGTGGTAAAATGGATCACAGTTCAGATAGCGTTCAAGTTGTCTGCGAACCAAGTTTGTTAGCCCATGACAAAATTTAATGGAAACAACACAGATGTGGTTCAAGAAAGACTGGGGAAAGTAAAAAAGCTTGGTCCTTACAGAATGGTGCTCACAGTAAATACTTTAAGTAAAGTGTTCAGCAGAAGCTCCTTGTAACATCCACGATTGATCTGTGCATGCATTCCATTGCAAAAGGCAGCACATTCAATTAAAAAAATGCATGCACCAATGATAGAAACAAAAACAACATGCATGTTCAATGTAATAGTTACACACCCTTCATTTTGCAATGGACTTGTAGTGGGCTGCACACACAGCTTGATTGCTGCTGCTATACACTCCTGCTAAACTACTCCAGAAAAAGTATGTGTTGAGATCTTGCTACTCAGTTTAGACATCTCTGTGCCAAGTGACAAGAAAAGAAGAGCTACAAATTAGCACCGAATAGCTATAAATATTCTATTCAAGGAGATTCATGAAAAAATTGGCATTGTGGACAAATGTAAAATACTATTTTTGTTAGTTTTTTTCTCTTTCTATTTTGAGAATTCAAATATTTTTAGGTTATTGCAATTAGGGAAACAAGCATAGTTGAATTATGTTGCACATCTGAAGACAAGATTTCATGAAGAAAAAAATGACAGATTTGGATGAAAATTTTAAATGCAATAAAGAAGTGTTGGTGCATTGAACAAATCACACAGACTTTTGATTTGCTAGACACAGGTGTACTTAATTTACAAATTTTAACTCTTTTTTTTTTTTACAAAATTGCCAGCCTCTTGGGTTGGTTTGTCTTTCAGGTCTTATCCAAATTGGACAAAGTTTTTTCCTATATACTTAAGGAGTTTATTGTCTGTGGTAAAAGAATTAATTTATGAGTCAGAGCACATTTTCTCTTGCTACTAATTTAAGAAAATCAGAGAAAAGGATGGTCCACTTGGCTGTAGAAGTATCTTAATTTGTCCTCTCCCTTTGATGTAGACATTTCTAAACCTCTGTTGAGGAAAGACATTACTTACCAACACAACCAAATTTGACTGAAAAGGACAAAAGATATTTATTGCTTTTTAGACTATAACAGTTCCAGATTGGAAATGATCCGAATGTTCAACATTTATGTCCCATTGTGCCATCTAAGAAAAAGTATTGTGGCTGTCATAACATGTTTCAGAGTTAGTGGAATAGTGATGTCTAGAAAAATGAGGAAACTACAGACATTTATTTTGTGATATTTTTTGCACTGGTAAAATGGGGGAAGAAGCATAGTGACTTTCTTGATGGTGTTACATTTAAACAGTAGCCTCTAATTGACGTGAATAATATGCACAGATACATATCTACAGACAATTATCAGTTCCAAGATATGAACAGCTTTGTGAGAGTAAAGCTGGAGGAAAACTGTGAGCTTTAATGAACACATTGTGTCCTAGAACAAATATACAAGCATATTTTTGTGCAAAATAGAGGCTATCATGTTTATTATCCTTCAAATATTTGCAAGCCATGTAAAAAAATGTTTGTGATCAGCTTACTGTTACTGTGCAGGATGTTTAAGAGTTTTCTCTGGTAGGACTTGAGGAACAAATATTTCCCTTCTTTTGTAATAACAGAAAACTCTCTCTCACCTTGAAATTTTAAAAGAAGATTTGTCATAATGGATGCAAGGTTTGAAAATTGGGGCACACTCGGATGATATCTAAGGGTATCCCCCAGTTTAAGCTCCTGGGGAAAATCAGTTACCTGATGGGCTTAGACCTATTGCATCTAAGCAAGAAATTTAATTGATCACAACCTTGGATATTCCCCCAGCTCTATATGAGGTATACTCATTTTATGTTATGCATTTAGACCAATCATGCCAGCACAAATAACTGTTATAGCTGTTGCTAAAGTCACTTCAGTCTGCATTTTTGATCAGTCTGATTATAAGAAACAAGCCTTGAATTCTGTCAAAATGCTCTGTCACTTCTGCTTGCTTTGTTTCTGAGCAGTGGTGGCACAATTTAATTAAGTTGTAGTCATTGTTTCAAATGATATGATTGATTACATTTATTTAAGTTAGGACCATGGTAAAAGTGGCTCTGTGAAATGAGAGAAAGAAAGGAAGAAAAAATATCATTTTGTATTTTCAAGTCATTCATGTTGTAAAAAATAAAATTAGAGATTTTAAAATAGTGACAGTTTCAGATAGCTGACTGCCTGGGAACTTAAGGGAGCTTTGTTTAAGCAACTTGAAAAGTTTTGCTACTTTTTCACAAAATCGCTATTTGGAGTCTATGTCATTCTCAACCAGCCCAGAACCATTATTTGCTCTTTATGCTTAGTTCTCCTGATTTGCTGTTTTTCTACCCTGTAAATCTATTATTTGACAGTTAAATTCTGCCTCTATAAATTTCATCCTCCCCCTCCCCACCACCCACCCAGCCAAATGACTGATCCCACCCTCTAACATCCCATTAAAATTTCAAGTAAACATTTACTTATCACATCAGAAAATTCTTTATTGACCTTTTAAAAACTATTTTGTTAGTAAGAGTCTGGTTGCTTGGCATACAGTTAAACCCTTAAAACTCCCAAAAGGGATTCACATGTAACTTCTCCCCATAATATCCACACATTATCCAGCAAACAGGTAATGAGAATACTCAAACTTATCAGTTAGAATTTGTTATCTTGATCTAATGCCAAACACTTGTTATTAACTTACAAGGAAATGTGTAGCAGATTTTGGGAGTAACAGAGTTCAATTAGAATCTTTCAAAAGTGTAGCCACTAACAAATTACAATCTTAATTGTACCTTATCAGGAGTTTTTCAGTTAATTTTGAGATAATTCAGGTCAAATCTTTCCTTAAAGAAGGATGGGAGAAAAGAAAGGTTTCACACTCTTTCATCACTGGTCACAGCTAGGAAATGATGATGCAACGTGCCTATTGCATATTGCTAAGAACAGTGAGGATGTTGTTGTTGTGTGTGGTTAAACACTATGTAGGAAAGATGGCAAATTTTTCAACCATGAACAAAAATGTTTTCACCTGGTAGAGTTGAGTGTTTTGGGGGCATCAAATTTACATTTTCATGCCCGCTAGTTGATACAGTGCAAGGATATTTGCGTATAGGGATATGTGTGTATAGGACTGCAAAATGCCAACGTGTGAATTAGCTGTTGTCTCTCCATGTCACTTCAACTTCATCTGTTCTGTACCTATCAATTCAAGTCAATTGCAAATTGTTAAACACTGAGTTTAAAAGAGCTTTATGATACATGGTTAGTTTTACTTAAAACAGGACATTTTACAAGGAGATAGAAACAGGGGATTGGGGGGGGGGGGAAGTCAAATTTAGTTATCACAAGTATAGGAGTTCAACAGAAGATAAACCCACTTTGAATACACTCTTTCATCTAGCAATCAGAAATAATGATATCAATCAGCATAAAATTTTTGCAGAGCTCTTTACTTAATCATGAGCCTTATCTGTAGGTTTGAATATATTAACATCTATTTCTCAAAGACTAATTAAATAAAACTGCATGGACCCGCTCTTTGAACACTTGCCTCTGTGTACATGTGGTTTCCTCTAGAGGAGTGACACACCCAGAGCGGAACATCTCCCAGCCAGCTTGTGCTATCATTACCCCATTGTCTATACAGAACCTGAAAAAAGAAAAGTCCTGCTTAGCTATTTCAAGAGTCTGTACTCTTTAGAACATCTTCTTTCCACAGACCTAAAATCAGTAACAAACAGAATACATAAGATCATAACTGCACCAGAATTGTAATTTTTTTAAACTTAAGATATAACGTGATTGATGACTAAACTATGCCTGGATAATTTGCAGTGTCACATGTAATTGTCACATTACTGTTGAGAAATTAGAGCTGTTGTGGTAGAGTTAGTTTTCAGTTACAAAACGGCATGCAAGGTGGGGAAATTCTCATTTTCGTCATAGACTGAATCTCCTCAAATTTTACACTACACCCATTGTTTTGAAACCCCAAATGAGAATAGAATCTGCTGCACCACTTTTACTTTCTTTGTATCTTTTAAAAATTGAGATGATGTTGGCAAATACTGGCCAGTACTTTGAAAGAAAAAACCCCCCAAGATCTTATTGTTACTTTTCCCCTCTAGCAGCAACACATTTCCTATTAAACTAGTTACAAGAATTTTGTGTTAGATCAAGACAACTTCTACCTGATAAGTTTGAGTATTCTCATTACCTGTTTGTTGGATAATGTATGGATATTATAGAGAGAATTTACATGTTAATCACTTCTGGGAATTATAGGGTCAATTCAGAGAAGTGACAAAAAAGTTAGCAGCATACTAATGAATTGAATCCCAATCTCAGACAACTTCTACTAATGAAGTAAGTATTCTCATTTCCCGTTGGGTAAATATAAAAAATGTCTGGATATTAAACTCACTTCTGGGAGTTGAAAGGTTAAGATATTGTCCATCAGGTCAGTTAAGAAATACTTAGAAAATGGTTTCACACAATCCAAAATATTACCTTTCATCAGTGGCATAAAGTTTAGCTCCCCTCTCTTTAGCCATCACACCTGCCATAAATCATTAAATAATAACAATTATTGCCATCATGCTGACAGTAGCAAGTATTAATTAAAAAAATTATAATTAAATATTAAAAAATAACTACTACTAATTTTCTCGTGAAGGTGTAGTCTGATCTACTGCACTAATTTTCTCAATAATCAAAAGGGAGGTTGCACTGTTTAACAGTCATTAGAGAAACTTTACAACCTTCCCTTGGGGTATATTTAACTAACTCCATCATGGAAACATTGTGGTTTGTCCTGTGCAGATAGTACCGAATTTTGCTCAATTAAATACACTGTAAAACAGATGAATTACCAGCGCTGGTGACCAGTTGAACTTACCCATCATTTCTTGTAATCTCTTGTTGCCTGCATGAACAGAAGAGTAATGTATTTATTACCCCAACTGGTAGTAATGTCACAATCGGATTGGCCAATTTGCTGTTGCTGATTGGAGTACAGATAATGTTGTTCCCATGAATGTGTCATGCAATGCCTTCATCAGCTCTCAAACATGTATGACTCACAAATTTTGACTTTGACATTGGTTTAGCGCAGTCTGTACTCTTATTGGCAACAATATTTGTCTGTGTTCGGGCCAGGACCCACTGTGGAAGAGTATCACAACCCTCTGTGAGACTAGACTTGTAATGCGACCACCCTACTGGGGACATTTGTTGTGTTAATATTATGGGGTGCCAGAACATGTGCTTTCCGCTTGAAGAATTGTAGTCATTACTTGAAGAATGTACAAGTCTTTCATTAGATTATTAAAGTGATTGTTTAACATTGTCGAGAGCGAAAGTTATTTCGTAGTCTGAACAGAACAGTCTGCACCTTGTGAGTCCACAACATTTTGAACACAGTGATGATGAACATCATTGTCAAGAGTGTAGACCACACTGAACCACTGTGGATTTGTTAAATACCACAAATAATTCAATTTATTATTCAACTGTGCTTTGTAGAGTACAAATAATGCGCGAGACGAGTACAAATATCACGCGATATTTGTACTCCAGAAATATCCGCGAAATATCTGCGAAATTTGCCCACACTGAAATAACAATTTGGCATGTTGGATAATAAATCTCTTATTAGACGTTTTGTTATGTAGTATCGCTGAGTCTTTTAACTCGTTGTTTGTATTTTGACTTGCCCTATGGGCTTGCCAAATTCGGCACAACTCGTAAAAATACTCAGCGATACTACACAACAAAACGTCTAATAAGATATAGAAACTACATCTGGTCCAGTCCAAGATGCCACAGGTGTATCCTTAACAAAAATATTCCATTTTAATGTGCATTTGTTCATTAATAGTTCACAGATGGCATCATAATGTTGTAAGAACTAAACAAGTTGCACACCTATGTTTTATATGATGAGATAGAAAAATGTTGTTAATGGTGATGTCAGTTATGTTTCTGTCCTACAATAGACCATACATGTAGATAAGAACAAATCAAAATGTGTGTATAATTCAACCTATCACATAATTCCATTTTAATGTGCCAATGTTTTCAAAACAAAAGAGTGAATATGTGAGTTCAGTTGATTTAAGCAGATTGTAAATTGGGGAGTGCATTCACTTGATGTAGTTATAACAACAACAACAACAACAACAAAAACTCATCTGAAAAAAAATCACGAAAATGCAGAAAATATTTTCAGTTTAGCTGTTCTCATAGCAACCAGTAAATTGCAAGAAGTAAATATCACTTACATCCCACTCCACCAACAATAAGAACCTCACTGGACCCACAGTGAGCCATTGCTCTCTCTGAAAATGGAACAATATAAAACAGGCAAACTATACTTTACTGACTTAAATTCTGAGAGAAATGCAATGTTCACTACCAAATTAAGAGCAAATTGAAGAGTCCTATTAATATAGCTTCTTCATGGTTCCTTCTTCTTAACCCTAATTTTTAATGGACAGTTGTTTAAAATGCCTGTTTCCTGTAATCTTTGTCTCATTTCAGTCTTTCTCTATCTTAATTACCAAATTAATACTTCATGGTTTCCCATATATCAAACTGAAAGTAATTGTCTAAGTCACAGGTGGAGTGAATGGTTTAAAATTCCTTGGACATTGACTGAGGAGCATTTGCCAAATTTGCCTCTCCTCTGAATTTCACCTTACTCTTTTATGCCAAAAAATAATTACCATTAATTAACAATCAATCCTAAAATATAATGTCACCTGTTGTTTCAATGAGCATGGCAAAAACTGTTTCCTGCACAGAAATGAGTTAAAACTAAGATTACTGTCATATAACTTTCTCTGTTATATGAATGTATTGTTGATGTATCAGAGTTGACTTCACAGTGTTTTCTTGAAGAGGCTAATGATTGACTAGGATCTAATTTCTCCTCATAACATCACCCCTGAATCACACATTAAGGTTCCTAGAATAAAAGAAAATGATCACCAACTAAAGAAGCTCTTGACTGTTAAACAAATTCTCTTTGTCCACACCTTAGGAAATGTATAGAGAACAGTATGGAGAAAATGCATAACGACGCTGTGGGTTTTTAGGGGCTAAAAAGGGAAGATAGACAGTGATAATCTTTTTAGGTATTGAAAGAGCTACAAGCTGAATATACTGTTCCAAGTGGCCATGATGTCAGTTTATCTTTCTTACCTGCAGGGAGAAGCACAAATCCTCCGGTGTGCATTCTCCTGATTCAAGTAATTTGGGTGCCATACTCTAACACAAAACAGAAAAAAGTATGATTGACAGTTACAGTTAAGTTAGTATACAGTGCAGTAAATGGTTTGAACCCGGGGGTAACATGTGAAGGTGTAGTCTGATCATCCGGGTGAGTGTAGTCCTGAGAAGGACTGTTGTCGGTGGCAGTGACTGACGTTTCGACAACCTGTGCGGAAGTCATCATCAGAGTCAAGTATACAGTATCTCTAATAACTTAAGACAATAAGCTTCAACAAGTTGAGAAAATCAGCTAAGAGAAGTTAGTGAGAAACAGACCTAAAATTTAACACATCATTCATAAAAAACTTACCTCAATGTATGATAAAATTCCTGAAAATGAAACATCCATTCCTTTCACTGTGTATGGTAATTCAATAAGCTTCTTTCCCCTGAATAAAAGAACTGAACTTAACATCATGATTAACCCTTAAACTCCTAAAAGTGATCAACAAGTAACTTCTCCCATCCAATACCGTTACATTATCCAGCAAACTGGTGATTGAGAATGTTCAAACTTGTTGACAGGTTGTAGTTGTTACCTTGATCTAGTACCAAATTCTCATAACTAATTTACAAGAGAATGTGTAGCAACTAGAGAAGAGAATTAACAATCAGATCATGGGAGCTAAAGGGTTAAGGACCTGGAACAAAGGTGAAAACAACTTGAATTACCTGTATATCAACAGTCGTATTCAACTGATATTCATTGTAAACTACAACACATACATCTTCTACTCTGTAAATATGCATTTATTAACCAAGTGTGAGGTCAAGATTGCTGGATATTGGCCAAGTTCTTTTTTGGCATTTTTATGGACATAGCCAAAGTCAAGGTCCATAAAAATGCTAAAAATGAATGAGGATGATATACAGCCACCTTGACCAAACAAGCTTCAGTGGTTAATAAAGGATTTGTCATATTGCAAAAAGAATTCGCTTCATTAAGAATTAAGAATGACTTGTTTACTTTGACAGCTGGGAAAGAAAGGCAACTGTCTTTATAGCACAACAAACTCATGGGAGTCGTTTCTGTTTACTTTGTTTTGACTAGCTTCTACCACTTTTTATGTTTCCATAGCACACATTGTCCAACAATTACAAACGTAGTTCTAAGTCAACTTTTTCATGTAGGGGATCAATGCGGGCAATCCCGAGCAGGAAGGATGGGCCCATCTTGCCCGGCTCGGGTAGCCAATCAGAACACAGGATTTGCTTCATCTTACCCACAGGCACTGCAAGCAATATAATAATTTAAAGTTACTATAAATCAAGGTTCACCTCTTAGCCATTTGTTCTATGTTGTATCCTGGGCTTGGATCATTTGAAAGCTAAAATGTAAGATGAATAACTGTTCTAAACTCAAAGTGACACACACTATTTCTGAAACTATTCAATTTATAATAAATTTATGGCCATAATTGCTATCTTTTTAGTGGCTTACATTAGTAGATAATGGAAATTTATCCCTGAGAAGACTTTGAAAGTCCCCCAGTGATGGGTTGTGCTCCATTCCATAGGCTATACAGGATTGTAACCCTTTGATTGGTAAGGCAGTGAAGCCATTTTTGTCCACAAACATGTATAGATTTTAACGATATAGTGTAATAGGGGATAGGCTTAGAGGCAAACAGCACAGCATATCTATGCCTTTTTAACTCTAAGTAACACTAATCAGCTTAATAAGTAATACTTATTTATCCATTCGATAACAATATCTGCCCTACAAACAACTGGGCCCAGATGAATAATAATAGACAAAGACGAAGTAACCAAATGTATCATGTGAATCAATTTGGCCAATTTTTGACCTAAGCAATACTGGAAAAAGCAATGCAGTTCTGAGGACAGGTCTGGAAAAGGATATGAAAAATGTTCATTTAACATTTTCTCCACTTGTATTAAAGAAAAGAAAAAAAGGGGTTAAACCCTATATTTAACTTTCTCAATCCAGCTTTGATAATAAAGGATTCCTTTTATGGGATGGTAGTTTTATCTGGTCTGGTAATCTTCAAGACCTATTGAGTGATTCCATTGCTGTTAAAACTGACCAAATAGATATTTCTTGTAACAGAAAAGTTCCCTTAGAGTTATCACATATGTAAACTAGCAACACAATGTCTTATTCCTGTGGAACAAAGCTGAAAAAATTATGCCAAACACGCAAAAAGTGTTTGGATAGTTCATAATAACACAGCTAGATTTACCACATCTTCCCCACACTTGAAACAAGCCATACAATAACAGAACTTTAACCTTAAGGACTCTTGCAAACCTATCCAAACAGTTCCCAACAGCAATATCAATGGTTTCTCCAAAAATACGATATCGTCGCTCCAAGTATGCAATCACTTGAGTGTTTCCACCACTGACGTAAAGAACAGTGGGATTGACAGCACCTGTTACCAACCGACCCATCTCAATGTGTCCTATGCAATGGTTAACAGCCACTATTGGCTTTTTCCAAAGCTGTGCAACAGTTCTTGCTACAACTGCTACAGAGACCAAAGGAGCACCCATGCCTGGTCCTAAAACAAACACCAATATATTAATTTGAATATATCAACAAAGTTGAAATGGTAAATTGGCCACCGTTACGATTATGAAAGCTGACGTTTCGAGCGTTAGCCCTTCATCAGAGCGAATAATTAAACCAAATAACCAAATAATTAACACTGATGAAGATCAATGTAATTGAAATCATATTATGAGCTGGAGATTTCTATTGCCTGATTGGTTGTTGAAGGCAAAGCACAGAAATCAAGAGCAAATGATCTGATTGTTTTAGTAAAAATCTACAAGTCATCCAACACAACAAGACAAGCTTTTTTTTCTTGTTCACAAAAGTACACTGTGAGGCTATTCACTTTACTCACTATCAAAGGAGGAGATGGTGAGCAGCAAAGCAAATCAGCTCAAGGTTTGCGCATTTGAGTTCGACTGCTAGTAGATTTAGACCGTATGTTGTTAGGTTTCCATATTTACTAAAGAAGGCAGTTGTTAACTTTGAATAAAGGCTGATAGTTTCTAAAGAAACTGTTTGGGGCTGCGTCAGTGGGGGTAATGAAATAATTTGAATATATCAACAAAGTTGAAA